ACAAAGTTTTTTTCTTTCAGCTTCTTATCTGAGCTGATCTGAACAGTGCAGTTTGCTGCTTGGACTAATGGTCTGAGCTTTAGTGATATGCAGCCGAAAAGAAAACACCTTGTTGAGGGCAGCAGTACATTTTTCCTCTAAATTTTAAAAGGGTGGAGAAGAAGGTTTCCCACTGAGCCGCTCTGGTTGCCTCTCATTCTTTTCCTGTCCACCACTGAACAAGAAGCAAGACCCCTTTAGTTTTGATCTGGAAACTGTTTTCTTTTGGAGTACAATAGATGGTCTTGGACCCCACAAGTGGAAGAATGATTATCTTCTCTCACTCCCTTGGAACCATGAAGATCTTGGCGACCTGACTCATTCCCTGGTGATGTGCTGAGGCTGCTGTGAGCCTCCTTCTAGCATATTGATTCCAATTCCCTTCCTAGATGTTAGACAGAAATTAGAACAGTCTGCTTGGGGATGGGGGGTTGCTGTCAGCATTTGTCATCCACCAGGGAGCAGCTGTAGCCAAGACAGGTAAAACCAGGACTCTGCCAACATGAGTCAGGAGCTGGGTTTTACATCCAGCCCCACAAAGGGTCCTCAGGTTCTGATAATCCTCCTCCAGTGTCATGGAATTTGGTGGTACAGCTTCATGGTGAAGAAGGGAGAGTGGGACTTTAGGCAGGCCACCCAGCTTTGTCCTTGACAAGTGTTAAGGAAACCTTTACTTGAGATAAATATGGGGTGCCTTTAAGAGAAGGCCAGAGCTGTCCCTTAACACTATCTCAGATCTTCTTTCTTGTCAGTGCCGATGAACCTGGAGTTTACAGAGCCAGCTCTGGTTCCCACTGGTGTCTCTCAGGAGACTGCTCCCCAAGTCACTGGGTCTGAAAGACTGCTGGCTGAATCCCTAAATGGTATGGGAGTAGCCAGAGCTACCGAACCTCCTGTCTGCCTTGGGAAACTTGTTGAAACTTCTTGTCACTAGGGCTAATTGTGAGGGATATACCCCCCTCAGTGAGGCACTTTGAGAGCTCCGGCCAGAGAATGGAATGGAAACTACATCTCTGGGTGGTTCTGAAAATGGGCCAGGTTCCTATTCCTCCAGGCTCCGTTAGTTGCAGGCATGTGTGAAATCAGGAGTATTAGACTGGATGGCCTCTCAGGCATGTAAAGTCCTACCCATCGCATGCTCTGTGCTCTCATTCCCCACCCCCTGTATGTTCTGCTCTCTTCTCCCTCCTTCCCACCCCCACATTAGAGGGTGATAAGCAAGCAAGTGCTTATCAGGAGTCCTGGAGGCTGCTGATCCTTATGTGGCATTTTCTGGCTTCCTGCCACAAAGCGGGATTTAGTTTAATGTGCACTTGGGAGTTTCCCTTTCAGTGGTGTTTAAGGACTTGATGGGTCCGGGACGGGGACTCCCATAGTCCAAGGACAAATCAATGCCCTGTGACTACTATTGCCTTGAAGGTTGTGAGTATCTATGCAGCAAGGTCTGGGGGTCTCAGCCTTGAATGACCTCCCCAATCCATCTGACTTTGTCTCACCTGAGCTGGGTTGTCCGTCCTACTGGTCGCTTGAGGGTTTTGTCTCCAAAGAAGGTTCCTGTACTTAGAAGCAAATTGATAGTATTTACTTGTTAATTGCTCTGCAGCAACTATAAAAGGTAAATATGTGACATGGAGAGGCTCGTTTGCTTCTTTACTGGTGTGGAACTTTTCTAGAAGAATTCTCTTAGCTTTTCTTTGAGACTTCCATCAAAAAACTCGGCACAACCTTAAAGCCAAAACCTTAAAGAAAACTCTACTTTACTAACCTTATTATCCCCCTTCTTTCAAGGCTGCTTTCTCTGCCCAGCTCCCTGCAGGTATAAATCATCATGACTTTAGGGGAGACTCCCTTGTGAAGCTTTGTAGGCTGCCACAGGCCAAGACCAAAGCTCCCCTCGTCCAGCCCCCTGAGCTTAACACACATCATTCCTTAACCCTGGGTGTCTCCCCTCATGCCATCTACCCTTGGGGCGAAGGAAAATTAAACAGTCTGTGGTCCTGGCCACAGCGGTTAGATCCCAGCCACTTTGTCCTGAGTGCGTATACCAGCTCTCATTTCACTGTATGACCTATGGGGGGACAGAAACGATTGATTTCTCTTCTGGGAAGGAAAACCTCTGTGAGAAAGGGTAAAGGCACCACACCCCATTCCCTGATTTGAAGGAAAAAGGGTTGATTAGGCACACAGGGCAAAGGCTGGTATTGCAGTCTTCATGGAGAGTTGGCATTGACGCTGGTAGAGGGGAGTAGCTGTAGGTTTGTTGAAGGCGCCTCCCAGATACATATTTGCAAAGAGGAGACGATCCGAAGGTCAAGCAACCATGTTCTACATGACTAGTTTAGAAATTCATAAACTCCATTGGGCTCTTTTTTAGTAGTCTCCTTGGTTAAACCAAAGATTCTTGCTCATTCTTACATTTGGAGTTGAGTCAGAAAGGGAGGACATAGGAGGTTCTTAAAACAGCAGCCATGGGGCAATCTCATGCCTCAAAATAGGGCCAGTTCCTTATCTGTAAGAGACCTCCAGCCTCAGGACCATAGCAGGCCGCTCTGGTGGTGTGCCACAGGCTGCCCAGGCACAGTTCTCAGCACCACAGAGCCTGGGAAATCCTTCACGACAGGATTCTCTGTGTATGTGTCAGTACGTTGAGAACTCGTGTTGCCTGCTCTCCGCTCCATTCTAGAGCCTGTCCTGGTGAGGGCCTTTCAGGTAGCTGCCCAGGGCACATGAACAAGTGTTCCCACATCCCGGGTTTATCATTTCACTTGTGAATGGGCAGCGGACCCTTTGTTCAATTTTTGCTTCTTGTCTTTCCTTTTTTTCTTTTAATTTTAAATCTCTCATCAGGATAATCTGAAAAGTAATAAGTACTATACCACCCTAAATTCATTTTTGAACATTACTTTCTAAACCACCATCTCACTTGGTCTTCCTTCCCGCCCCCCAACCCCTCCATCGGGGGCAGGGAAAGGCAGATGTAGTTCATCCCTATTTTATAGATTAAAACCTGAAGAGGCAGGGCACCTGGGTGGCTTTGTTGTTAAGCATCTGCCTTCAGCTCAGGTCATGATCCCAGGGTCCTGGGATGGAGCCCTGCATTGGGCTCTCTGCTCGGCAGGAAGTCTTCTCCCTCTCCCATTCCCCTTGTTTGTGTTCCCTCTCTCACTCTCTCTCTCTCTCTCTGTCAAATAAATAAAATCTTTCAAAAATAAATAAAACCTGGAGAGGCTAAAAGGGGAAACATTGACTAATACTCCAGTTTAGGGGCGCGTGGGCAGTTCAGTTGGTTAAGCATCTGCCTTCAGCTCAGGTCATGATCCCAGGGTCTTGGGATCAAGTCCCGAATCAGGCTCCCTGCTCAGTAGGGAGTCTGCTTCTCTGTCTCCCATCTGTGATCTCTCTCACTTTTGTGTGCTCTCAAATAAATAAATAAATAAATAAATAAAAATCCTTTTTTAAATAAATAAATAAAACTCCAGTTTATAGATTCTTGGCTTCATCCTTTTCATAGACCCTAACAACCTTTTTTGAAGCCCCAAGATGCAGGTTCCTGGTAATGTTAGCAACAGTTACCATCCGTGAGCTTGCGCTATGCCAGACATTTCTACACATCATGTCTTTTCATCTCTCCAATTACTTAGTTGTTGGTGCATTTTCTCTCTCTCTCTCTCTCTCTTTTTTTTTTTTTTTTTGAAGTAGGCTCCATGTCTAGCATGGAGGCCAGTGTGGGGCTTGAACTCATGACTTTGAGCTGAGATCAAGAGTCAAAAGCTTAGGGCGCCTGGGTGGCTCAGTGCGTTAAGCCTCTACCTTCGGCTCAGGTCATGGTCTCAGGGTTCTGGGATCAAGCCCCGAATCGGGCTCTCTGCTCAGCGGGGAGTCTGCTTCACCCCTCTCCCTCTGTCTGCCTCTCTGCCTACTTGTGCTCTCTCTCTCTCTGTCAAATAAATAAATAAAATCCTAAAAAAAAAAAAAAAAAAAGTCAAATGCTTAACTGAGCCATGGAGGTGCCCCCAGTACTATCTTTTTAAACTGAGATCTGGAGAAGTCACTGTTCTAGAGAAGAGGTGTCAGGACTCCAAACCAGGGCTTTCTAATTCGAAAGAAAGTCCACATCCTTCATTCTCCCACTGCCCTGCCCCTGTCTCTGACTAAAGTTGCTGTGGAATGCTGGAATGCTGTGCAGCTTGGTGGCTGGAGAGATCGGAGGCTGTCTTTCACCTCTGGTCCAAACCCCTGCTACAACTAAGCTGCCTCAGAAAATAGTAGCTTTGGAAATAAGCCGACCATTGAAGGGGACTCTCTCCCTTGGAGAAATGGAAACAAGCTATTTAATGGTGATTTATATAAGCTAGAACGAAATCACGTACCTGTGTGTTCAAGATCCCCCTCTCCCCTGCTTCCTACATCTTAGTGCACCTTTTAGGTTTCCTTAACAATAGCAGTTTTAACATTGCTTTTAATTAGATGAATTAAGAATGTTCTCTGGTGTTATCACCCCCTCCCGCCCCCCTATCACCTTCAATTCCCCATTGCTGTGAGAGCTGTGATTGCCATGGTAACAGGACTCCCAGCTGAGCTTGGCTCTCACTGGTTTGTCTGGTCAGGGGAAAGTTAGGGGCAGGTCTTCCTGGTGAGCGGAGTTCTGACTGGCTTTCCAGGGGGTTGCCTTTAAGCCATGAAATGAAAAGAGCTAAAAGACTGTAAAGAGAGCATGAGCAAGCTTCCTGCAGAAACGCCCAAGTGTGCCCCTAGTCTTGCTCGAGGGTTCTAGCCTTCCTCCTAAAGTAAGAGGACCCCAGCATCCCCCTGCTACCCAAGTTCGCCAGTATGTGTGAGAGGCCTTCTTTCTTATCTGTGGTTAACTTGCTTCTGGCCATAGAAGGGACTTTGTTATTCTTGGTAACAAATTGTTTCTCCTCGAATTCTCTTTTCTTCCCTCTTTCTCCCCCCCCCCCCAGAGAGTTTTCAACGTCCTTTACCCCATGCCTGCCGACCAGCGGAGACATGTCAGCATCAACTCTGCCCGCTGGCTGCCCGAGCCAGGGCTTGGCCTGGCCTATGGTACCAACAAAGGAGACCTGGTGATCTGCCGACCAGAGTGAGTGGCCCAGGGTGGGCGGCAGTGAGGGTGGGAGGGGGTCATCCAGGCTGAGGATGGGAGTAATTGGCATCATCCGTGGGTCTGGCCGTGAGATGGGGTCTCGTAGGTGGGAAATCGAAGCTCTGCTAGAGCCTGCCTCCTTCTCTGCGTCACTCTGTAAAGGGTCCTTTTCACTTAGGGTTGCTAGGGTTAGCTCTCCGTCCCAGAAATCTTCAAAAGACTGGTTTAGTTATTATGTCTTCATAAATCTAAGGCAGTGTGTTTTTTCCTTTGTTTTCTCTTGTTCTCCGGTTCCCTAGTGATAGTAAAGTTTCCCTGCAGACAAAGCATAGATATCAAAGATTCTTTTCTAAACGCTTTTAGAAAAATTCAACAGGTGGTCTTGGGTTGTGTAAATGCCACAGACGTAACATAAGAAATAAAATTGGAAATAGAGTATTGTTAAAGCCCTAATTTGTCAGGCCACTGATCTCTAGCAGCCTGGCTCTCTGTCCTGCCTGTTTTCCTTTCTGCTTGCACTTCATAACAGTGAAGGCAAATTGAAAAGCTCCATTTAAATCAGAACGCTGATTATCTGATCCTGAAGTAAGGGGTAGGAGGGGACACTTCTGTCGTAGGTCCTGATGACACCCCTTCCCCTTGTGGAGGACAGAGGTCTGTCTGTTCTTTCACTCGAGACCCTGGGAGTCAGCCAGGTCTGTCGTCAGTTCCCAGACCCAGCCAGGTGGGGCTCGTGAAGCTCTGTGTGTCAGTGCGGATCAGGCTGATTACTGCCCGGGCCGCCGCAGGGTTCCAGCCGACTAATGCCACTGCTGCCTCCAGGCCGTCCTAATGCTGTCCTCCACTTGGTGCGGAGTCTCCTCCAGGGGTGTTCTGCAGATCACAGAGCATGGCGTGACTGGTCTGGTAGGGTCTGTGGCTGTTGGAAGTGTCTGTGTTGCCTTTTGATAGGGCCTCTGGTGATTTTTCCTAGGGTGTGTATTTGGGTCAGTTCTCATGCCTGGTAGGTGACTGGTGACCGAGCCTTGTCCGCTGAGCTAGGTCAGTGGCTCAGGAGAAAGGAAACCCTATTCTAAGGGCAGCTCTTTCACTCTATCCTGCATTTTTGGAGCCCCTCCCAAAGAGAGGCTGCCGTCTGAGACTGGTTCTACCAGCCACACTCTGCTCAGGCTCTGTGTCCAGAGGGCCCCTCTCACTAGCTCCTCGTGCCTTCCCAGAACCGCGCCTGCCTCTTTGACGACTGTGCCACTATTAGTCTCGGCGCCGGGTCTGTCCGTTTCTGCCCTCCCCCTGGCCTGACCATAGTCCTGGGATCAGTCTGCTCTGAGCTCTTTCTTTTTTCCCAAATCACATGAGACCAATTATCTTATCTCACCCTCTTAGGAGTTCGTAAGAGGACTCTGATAGGCATCTTTTCCAAAACTGGCACAGAATTCTGGGCCATAATTTTATTCTTAACCAACACTGTAGTTATAGGCCTTTCTTTCCCTGTTTCTCCGAGACATCCTTCCTCAACATTATTGTCTCATCTGTAGCTCCAGCCACGAAACCTTTGTCCCAGCCAAACTCCCAGCCCCTTCCCTTGTAAAAATGACCTGCTCCAACAGAGGCAGACTCTCTACCTCCAGTTCATCGTGGTGCCACAAAGGCTTATATGTCTGAAACCCCGGCCTCCGCACTTGCTGTGAGTCACGGACACCTCAGCCAAACATGAAGCTGGCTTTGGCCTCTCTTCTCTCTTTTCTCCCCATATGTTGTCTTCAACATCCAGCACCAGCAGGCTGGAGCCATCCTGGGCTGCCTGGGGAACGTAGCTGCAGGAACTCAGGCTTCTTCCAGGAGCAAGCGGGCACTGGCATTTGACACCACGGACAGGGGCCCATTGCAGACCTAGTTGTGTTGGCCGTGTTGGCCCGAGAGAGAGCTAGCTTGCCCTGCCTGTGTGGGGTTGCTATTTTTCCTGAATTGTTGGGTTATTCTGGTAAATGCCCTAAATCTTAGGGCTGCATATTTGAGGGAACCATGTAAACTAAGACAGACTTGACTTTGTCCTGACTTGTTCAGAGCTTCTCTGCTTCTCAGTCCCCTTCGTATCTGTGGGGTTTGGCTTCAGGCAGGGAAGACGGAGCAGTATTCAGGTAAAGACGGGAAGACTTATCCAAGGCCGCCCAGCAGATCAGTGACAGAATTAGGCTCCCTGACTTTCTAATTCTGAGCTCTTTCCTACAGCTGGTTTTGTTGTGTTTTTTTTTTTTTCTTTTTACCTTTTTTCTATCATGAATAACTTTAAAATTCTGGTAGAAACCATGTACACTCTTCTACAGAAAAATATACCACAAGAACACCCGCGTAATTTCATAGCTCTCTTAAGACCTCAGGTAAAGCATGCAGCCCTAGATCATGTTGAGACATTTAAGCGGCTCAGATGATTGACATGGAGGGAAATGAGAGAGGAGAAGGGAGAATGTTCACATCTTTTGAACAGTCTGTGGTGGTCTCTGGCCTAGAACAAGGAGAACAAGTGAATAGGGCAGGAGGAGCTCAGGGTTGTTGTCTGTCCAGTAGGCAGCTGCCTGAGGCTCCCCGCCCTTCCCCTGGCGACAGGGCTCTCGCACACCTGTTCCCAAGGGCATAGCAGCTGGCCGGCTGGGGTTACAGCCCTCCCCCCAAGAACAGGTGCTTGTCTGCCTTTGTCTGCGGACACGGGCAGCTGCACCCCGCTTTGTGCTGTCTCCCTCTTGAATTCTCCTCCATTGTCCGAGCCTCCACACACTCTCCAAGCACAAAGACAGAGGTCACAAGCCCCTTGGGCATCTCTTGGTGGCACTAAAGCCCCACTGACAGTAGAACAAGGCCTCAGGAAATACTCCCATCATTCCAGGGAATGAAATTCTGATGATAGGCGAGGAGACGAGCAGCTGGCTCCGTAGCGCCTGTGCGAAGCCATTAGGGTGGCTGATAGCCCGGTCCCCCCACCCTTCCTAGCAGCAAGGCCCTCCTTTCTCCTTTGCTTTGCTCCCCCACCGGCCACTCCTCCCAAGCTGCTGCTGTGCTGGCTGACTGCCAGCCCAGCCAACACCCCCACCGATAACCACAGTGGGTGTGAAGTACCAGATTGATGTGAGGGGGTGCTTGCTCACTTCCGGCTTCATAGATCAGCCCTACAAATGGGGGGGAGGTGTTGCTGGGAAGACCACTGCTTCTCAGAGTCAGCTCTGAAGACGGAATCGAGGGACTCCTGCCAGAAGAAACTAGGCCAGGACTGTGGGGCATTTGGCCCCCTGGCTGAGTGTGGGACCCCTGACAAGGCCCCAGCTCTGGGCCTTAAGAGGATACTACCTCTGTAAACAGTGATTGCAATCAGGCATCACTGACCAAGGAAGAGAAAGGCACACCCTGAATCAGAAGGGAGCCACAGAGACTTCATCTTTCCGGCTGTCCCACAGGAGCCAGGTGCCAGCTCTTTCCCACGTTGCAGAGAGAGTGGGGATAAATGCCTGTCCTTCTTTCAAAGAGACAGCCATGTAAGGGATAGATGAAAGAAGATGTTCTCAAAGAGAATATTCCCTAGAAGTGGAGAAGTTCAGGCTGAGTTGGTGGAACGTGCAGCTCTTGATCTCGGGTATGTGAGTTCGAGCCCCACTTTAGGTGTAGAGATTACTTAAAAATAAAATCTTAAAAAAAATAAAAAAAGTTGAGATGTTCAGAGCCATAATCTGCATGGGAGCATGGTCACCACTGAGGAAGCCAGGCCAGCTCCTAGCTGTGTTGAGGGGACTCAGAAGGTCCCAGTTGTGAGGGAGTCACTGAGCCCAGCCTGGCAGCACAGGCTGCAGATGCTGCTGAAGGAAGCCTGGGAGGAAGTGGAAGCAAGTCCCTTTGAAAGGCTGGCCCTGCTCGGCCTTCCCGCGCTTCCTCATCCCTTCGTGTGTTTACATGGCTTCCGGGAAGAACCCAGAGGCAACAGTGACTCATTGATCCTTACTAAGACTCAAGGAGAAAAGAGATGGTTTGGAGCATTCTTCAGCTTTTAGGCGGAAATCAGTGATACTGGGTAGATATTGGAGGCTAAGAGTTTCAGCAGCCAGAGAGGGTGTCTTCACCTCTGATCCTTGTACAGTACCTGGAATTTTAACCAAACTTCCAAAAACATGAGCTTGTTGTCATCAAGCTGCTCTGATCACAGAAAGTAGAACAGGTCAGAGCTCCAGTAGACCTGTTGATGGCAGGGGGCAGGGTGGTACGCAGTAAGGAAGGGGGCCGGCTGGAGCAGCACATCTGCCAGTCTCTGTCGTCGCCTTCTGCTTGGCCGTCAACCTCATCACTGAATGTCCTGAACCCGCAGCTCTGAGCTGACGGGGCATGCTGCCCAATGGAAGGTGTTTGAGGGGACTCTGACCATCAGCATGACGCTGCCACTCCCAGCACAGGGACTGGGGCCTTCAGGTGGCCTGAAACTGGAAGGAAGGTTCCTGTCCACGCAGCGCATGGCTCGGCGTAGGTCTAGTGTGGACGGTTTGATGCCGCTAACCAGCCCTGGCTAGCGGGAGTTACAGAGGAAAGATTTGGCAGGGCCCCAGATGGTACTGCCACCTGTCAATAAATCTTGACAAGTTTGTAAATCAGAGGCTCCCTGGCAGCTGGCCTCACGTGGGGCCTCATGCAGCCAGAATTTGCTCAGCAAAAGCTGCAGTGATGGCTTTGTTTTGTGGGCCGCTGCTGTTGACCTCTGGCCCTTTGCCTCTTCCCTCATGGAAGGTCTTCTCCTGTCTCCTGGGCTCTGCAGTGCCCCTGCTGTTCTCAGACAGCACCCCACCCCCCAAGAGAGCTGAATGCTCTGAGGAGGAAGGAGCTGCTTCTTTTTAAAGGGACGGTCTGAAGAAGATCACACCAAAAACGCAGCCCTGTGGGTCCCTGGGGCTACCCGAGGGTGGTTAGACTGGAGCAGGGAAGGAAGAGCACCTGTGCATGGCTGTGGCTCTTTTCCTCCAAAGATGCTCGTGTGCCCCTTAGGTGAAGCCCAGTCCCCAGGATCTTCATGACAACTGAGAGACAGATGCAGGGCTCTGGCCCAGGCCTGTTCCCTTTCACCCGCAGTAGCACACTGTCCTGATATGGGGTCCCTCGCCATCCAGGCCCTGTCAGGTGCCCATCCTGGCTAATCCTGACATCACTGCCCCCACAGATGGCCTTTTCCTCATGACCCACTGGCTTTGATTTTTCTGCTCTTTGTTGAAGAAGTTCTGTCATTAAAGGAAGATGGCTGGGGCCTCTAGGTGAGAAAGTTGGCTTTTGTCGGAGCTTGTCTTAGCTCGGGCAGCCATTACAGAACACCACAGACTGAAGGTCTTAATCAACAGAAATTTATTTCCTCACAGTTCTGGAGGGTGGAAGTCCGAGAGGAGGAGCCAGCAGGGCTGGGTTCTGGTGAGGTCTGTCTTCTCACTGTGTCCTCTCATGGTGGAGAAAGAGAAAGATCTCTTTCTTACTCTTCTTTTTCTTTTTCTTCTTCTTTTCTAAGATTTTATTTTTAAATAGTCTCTACACCCAGCGTGGGGCTCAAACCTCACAGCCCCAAGATTGAGAGTTGCATGCTCCGCTGACTGAGCCAGCCAGGCGCCCCACTTCCTTACTCTTCTTATAAAGCCAGTCTCTGTATTAGAGTCCCACTCTTCTGGCTTCATTTAATCTTAATTACCTCCTAAAGACCGTCTCTCCAGCTGCAGTCTCACTGGGGGATAGGCCTCCCATCTGTGGATCTGGGGGGACACAGTTGAGTTCATGGCCCGGTTCCTCCAGCACGTGTGCACGCCCTGTCCCATCTAGGAGCCGAGCCGGCTGTTAAGAGTATCTCTTACAGTCTCCAGAGGGACACCAGGGTTTGGTTTGGGTTTTGTTTCTTTTTTTTTTTTTTTTTTCCCAAAATTTATTTATTTGACAGGCAGAGATCACAAATAGGCAGAGAGGCTGAGAGAGAGAGAGGAGGAAGCAGGCTCCCCGCTGAGCAGAGAGCCCGATGTGGGGCTCCATCCCAGGACCCTGGGATCATGACCTGAGCCTAAGGCAGAGGCTTTAACCCACTGAGCCACCCAGGCACCCCTGGTTTTTGTTTTTAAGTGAGGTCTGCACCGGGCATGGGCCTCAGACTCACCACCTGGAGATCAAGAGTTGCGAGCTCTACTGACTGAGCCTGCCAGGTGCCCCAGGGACACCAGAGTTTGGACGGGATCAGACATCACTTCCCCATCTCCTGTCCCCACCTTCACCACCAGCACTGCACGCTCAACCACAGTGACTGCTAGGTAACCCCTTTTCCAGGAAGGAATCCTTAAAACCAAAGCAGTCTATGGGTTGCTTCCTGGGGTGGCAGGCCATTGTAGAGACACGAGAAGCCAGGGCTTCCCTTCTGCTAGCGGGGCCCATGTGAGATTAGAAGAAACGGCTTGGGGTGCCTGGTGGCTCAGTGCGTTAAGGCCTCTGCCTTCAGCTCGGGTCGTGATCCCAGGGTCCTGGGATCGAGCCCTGCATCGGGCTCTCTGCTCCGCGGGGAGTCTGCTTCCCCCTTTCTCTCTGCCTGCCTCTCTGCCTACTTGTGATCTCTGTCTGTCAAATAAACAAATAAAATCTTTAAAAAAAAAAAAAAAGGAACGGCTTGATGGCCCATTCCAGGGAAAGGAGGAGGCAGGGCAAGATTGGCAGCGGGAGAACTCCGAAGGGTAAGATGCCTCATTTTCCTTCCTTCCTGCCCCATGGCAGCAGGGAAGACCCGGTGGCAGGAGCCTGTGCTTTGTCCGCTTTGGAGGACGAAGCCTGGACTTTAGGCAGGGCCGGCTATGGCGCCCTGTCTCTCTAGGGCCTCCCTGGCCTCTCATTTGCCATCTTGGGTCCTTTCTTCATGCCTGAAGAACACTCAGCCCACTGCCTCCATATAGGGGGGCTCTTCCTTAGCGCTCTCTTGGGCCCTCAGAGGAGCTGCGTCGGCCTTCAGAGGCAGGAAGAGTCCCACCGCTACAGGCGCTTGGGCTGTCGCTCCAGCACTGAGCGTCCTGGTGGGAATCTCTAGTCCTGGTCTCAGCTCAGCCCCTTGAGAGACTAAAGAGGGCTTCCAGGCCACAGTCCACGAAGCCCTAGAGGTGTACGGAGCTCTGGCCATTCTCTCTAATGCTCTCTCTACCTTTTCTCTTCCACCCTCCCCAACTGGTTTTCAGGGCCCTAAACTCTGGTGTTGAGTACTACTGGGACCAGCTAAACGAGACTGTCTTCACGGTCCACTCCAGCAGCAGGAGCAGTGAAAGGCCTGGGTGAGTTTGGGAAGGAAGAGGGCACAGCCGCTGGAGAAAGGCCTGTCCCTTCCTCCTGTTTCGGATGGGCTCTCAGGCAGTGCCCTCGGACCGCTCCGGCCTCCCTCGCTGCCTCTCCTCAGCCACAGCGGCTCCTCTTTGATCTGCTTTATGCACTGAGCTTTTGCAGTTTCATTTAAGAAAAGCATTCCGTGGCTAAGGTAGAGAACAAAAACCTAAGCTCTTAGATTCTTGACTGAGAACAAACTAGGACATCCTGGGGCCCTTTCCCATCCTGGCCATGGTATCTGGGAACACCGTGAGGGGGAAGACAGAGCAGTAGGGAGGGATGCTGTCCCCAAGAAGTGTGCCTGTGGCCCACGGAGCACCTGTAGACAGTGCTGCAGGTGGCCAGGGCCTCGGGGAACAAGCTGCTCAGAGCTGTAGCCCAGGGACAGACCTTCCGCAGGGGCCAGTTAGAGAGTAGAAGCCTGGCCTGATCCTCTTATCACTTAGTTTATTAACGAGGCCTGGAACATTCTGACAAAAAGTTCTGGGTCAGTAATACACCTTGGTCAATCACTGCTTCCTAGAGGAATTACAAGGCGTAGCTCGAGGAGCAGTGTCCAGAAGCAGCTAGAAAGGAGTGGCTGGTGCCTGTCACGGAAGTCGTGGGCTCCCTCTTCTTCCAGCTCCACCTCTCCCAAGGGGTCAGTGCCTGGGAGATGCCCAAGGGAAGAGGGGTGCTAGCTTTTTGCCTGGGCCTTACTCATAGGTCAGCTTGAGCTGCCTGCCTACAAGGGTCTGCTGTGGGAAGGCCTTGAAGGAGACCAGAGGGCTTTTCCTCTAATGTGGAGATCCAGAGAAAGTTCCAAAAATTTAAACTGGAATCTTGTCAGCACATAGTTAGAAGGAAGGGAAAGCTGAGAGAGGAAAGGTCCTGCTGCTCACCCTTTGTCCCACAGATGTCAGCTGGTGGCTTCCTGCTTGTAAATAAGAGTCTTAAGATCAGCCACCTCTACCTCCCCAGAAAGACGCTCCCTGTTTGAGGGAGTGATGGAACTAGCTGGTTTGCAAAACAGGGTGGTTCTGCAGCCTCCTCGCATCATCCCAGGTTTGGCCTGACCTGGAGGAGTGACCTACCATTGGGAGGGAGCCACTGGAGCACATAGTTTGTCCTCAGAGCCTGCAGGCTCTGCTCCAGGGGGCTGTGCAGGATTGGTGGGGAGCACGTAGAACTCGGCGAGGCGTGCTGTCCCACGCGCTGCCTGACTTCCGTCTGCCTTTCTCTCTCTAGAACCAGCAGAGCTACGTGGAGGACAGACAGAGACATGGGTCTGATGAATGCCATTGGACTGCAGCCCCGGAACCCCACCACCTCCGTGACCTCTCAGGGCACCCAGACTCTGGCCCTTCAGCTGCAGAATGCTGAAACACAGACGGAGAGGGAGCTACAGGAGCCAGGGACAGCGGCTTCGGGCCCTGGTGAAGGTAAGAGTCACATAATTTTAGAGCACAAACACGACTGAGGGTCCTCTCAGCCCTCCTGGTCCCTCCGCAGAGACAGCGGGTGCCAAGAAAGGGCCCTCCCCTCTCCGGAGGAGCGCCCTCTCACCTGCCCGGGGCGCGTTCCCCTGGGGGCACGAGGAGACTCCTCGGTAGGAACAGCGTTTCCCTGATCTGGGTCACTGTTTGCAGCAGGCCGAGCTGCTCCTGCAGCTCTGCTTGGCTCCCACCGAGTACCCTGACCGCCCTCTTCTGTAGGACTCGGAGGACCCAGGCTGATGTTCCAGAGAGAGCACACAGGAGGTGGCCTCGATGGAAAAGCTGCGAGACAGACTCAGTGCCACGGGCGCTTGTTCCCAGGACAGGCACGCCGGGCCCTGGGCTTCTGGGGCCAGCCGTGATCACACCCACGGCTCCTTGCCATTCTGGCTGTGGCCCGTGCGCCACCAGCCCCTTCCTTCACCTACCTCAGGTGTAGCTCGGCTGGCCTCAGCCCCGAATCTGCGCTGGCCTCGGCCCCAGCTCTGTGCTGGCCTCACGATTCTGAGAACCGATTAGCACTTCCCAGCGGTACAGCTTGGAGCCGCTTAGGAGTCTGTGGGCAGCTGTGCTGAGCAGGCTGTTCTCGCCCAGTCACTCCCCTTACCCCGCCCCGGCCCCTCGCCAGTCGGACCTTCAAACAAGGCCGCCTCCAGCCGGACACAACATGCTTCAGCTCTGTGTGGGCCATTTGCCACAAAAGGGCCGCAGAAGGAAGAGCCGTCCGTGATTTGAAGGAGGCAGAGTGACAGATCTGCCTGTGTCTCCCCAGGGAGCAGCTTTCTGTCCAGTAGCCCCCCACAGGGCTCTGTCCCTCTCCCCACTGTGAATGGAGATTTTTTAAAAGTTGAGTCCATTTTTTGGTTTGTGGCCCAGGCTGCATCCCCATCTGAGGCCCATGCCTCTTCCTTGGTTCTGGCCAGTTTCCCAGGGCAGTTCCCTTCCTGTCCCCTCGCCACAGAGGACAGCAGCTGGCGGAGGCAGGTGTAGCCGTGTGGTGCCCAAGTGCGGCAGAGGGGCTCCTGCAGCTTGCCGCGGCGGTCTGGGGCCCGTGACCTTTGCCCGGAGCTGTGGACGCCAGCCCTTCTCAGCACCCCGGTCCCTTTCAGAAAGTCCCTCACATAGAAAGAAGTGAGGGGAAAGGGATGGGTTGTGGGGACAGATGTCACTGGCCAGCTTCATCTCTCCTGGCGCCAGGAGCTTTGTTCTGAGGTGCTTACCCCATCGGACCACTGGCCTCTCCTGCCACTCTGGTAGCAAAGCAGGGGACCAGGAAGTAAGTGTCTCCTCAGGCACACACGTCCCCTCTGGCCCACCTTCCCCATCCGGCAGGTGGGCCTCGAGGCTCCGCATACTGGAATCCCAACTCTCACCCCTGCTCCTCTCTCTCCGTGTTGGCAAACTGGTGGCCACAGCTGCAGGAACATGTAGCGGAAAGCCTTAGTGAAGTTAGCTGACCCTTCTCCTGGGCTTAGCTAGAAGGTGGGGCCCAGGTGGGTATCCCCTGCGCACCCCGACACGTCAGTGGCCCGGGTGGATTCGGTGGGGGAAACGGCTCTGCATGACTGATTCCCATTCTGGGGCCGCCCCTCCCTTAGCCCTTTCCCCATCAGTCAACACAGAGGGTTTCCAGGCCACTGTTCATTTTCTGACTCAATAAAAATTGGATTAGTCTCCTCAGCTCCTTCTAGGACTTCCAGGAAGAGCCCTCCACAGAGGGAGTTTGCAAGTATCAGCTCTTTAGCTTGTCCACCTTCAAAGTTTCCCGAAGTTTCCCGTCACTCAGAAATGGAGGGGAGCGTTCCCTGGGCTCATTCTTTGCCCCCCACACTGATACCATGCCTGCCCGGCATACAGTAGGCATTCAGGAGCTTTGTGGAATGAATGGATTGAGTGAGGCAACGGCCTGCCCCTGAACTTGGCTGCACTGCACTCCTCTCCTCTGACCACTGGAGAAAGGTTGCCTAGGCCTCCTCTTGGCTGGTGAAGATGAGAGCCCCACCGCAGTAGCCCGGGGCCAGGGAAAAGCAAAGGTGGAAAGCGAGGGGCTAGAAGGCCAGCGTGTTCCCTGAGGGCAGGAAGGGCAGCTCTTCCTTCTACTCGGCCTCGCTTCCCTCTTCTGGGCAATGAAAGCCCCAGAATTAAATGTAGTTACAGGGCATTATGGGAACTTGCTGATCACATCCTGGCGTCTGCATCTAGAATGTACCTTAGAACTTGCCAAGGAAAAGATGTCCTGTCAACAGTAACCCAGTTTCCCATTTTTCAAAGACAAAAAGAAATGCTCTTGCGGGGGGTGGAGACAGCAGAATTAGCCTCTATGGCCACCACTGCTCCTAGAGCTAATAGCTTGGATCCCCGGCCATGGTTGCCTTTTCCCTCAGGCTCCAGTGTGTTTTCTTCTTGAAGAATGTGCCAGGGTAAGAGTTAGCCTGGCTTGGAGTCCCGGAGGGAGAAGCACAGCTCACAGCTGTGTGCACCAGCCGAGAGGAAGCCATCCACGGACACAGCTTAACTTCTCCATCTAGTCTGTTTGAGCACTGACTTTATGATTGATACTGTGTTAGGCACCATGAATCCAAAAGCATTGCAGAGAGAAGCAGATTCCGAGATGAAACCATTGCCTTTTCCTTCAAAAGCAAGTTCAGAAAGGAAACAAACACTTAAGTACTTCTCATACAGCAGAGGGATGACATGTGACCAGATTTCACAGAGTACCTTAAGTCTGGAGCACCTGTGATCAGCCTGGGAGCCCTTTCATTCAGCCACACATTCACATGACAGATGGATGCCAAGTGCAAGGCCATGCATTAGACACCGGACCCAAAGATAAATAAAACTCACTCTGAGACCTTCAGGGACTTGCAGCCCAGGCGGGAGATACCACAGCCACAAATAACACCTGTGGAAGGATGGGGCACTGGGAGGGCTCAGGGAGGGAGCAGCCACTTCCTGCTGGGGTCCACAGAAGGCCAGGTGGGAGGGGTGGTATTTACATTGACCTTGACATTCCCAGGGTGTCCCCAGTGTGAGTGAGCAGGGGCAGGCACGCACACAGCAGTGTCCCACACAGCAGCTTTGGTAAGAGCATTGGTGCAGGAAGGGAGGATATTCGGGGAAGTGGCTGGGATGTGACCAGAGGGCCCTTAAATGCCCTGCTAAGGTGTCTTGACAACTTTGAGAGCCCTTGGAGCTGCTGGGTTTTAAACAGATTAGGGACTTAACTAGAACTCAGTGAGTCTGAGCTTAATTAGAATGGTAATAGCTGCAGCGTGGAGGCTGGCTGGAAAGGGAAGAGGTAGGAAGCACGAAGACCAGTCAGGACATAACAGCCACAGTTGTGGTGAGAGGTGGCCCAGGCCAGAGCCATGGGAACAGCAGAAAAGCACAGGAGGGCCTCTCCGAAGACCTGGCTATAGCACTGCCCTTGGGGCCCCAAGGCAGCCCTGTCCTGCCCCCGGAAGTGAGCTTCGTGAAAAGAGCTGATAGTTCACTAGGCACAGAGCCCAGCACAATGAGTTCCAATGCCAGCAGGCCTCGGGCCAGCCCCCTGCACATCCCAGACCCAGCTGGGGAGGCCCTCAGTGCACAGAGTTCTTGGAAAGCATTGGGGGTGGCAGCGAGCACAGAGAGGTCCCCAGGGGGCCTCGCCAGCAGCCCTTTTGGCTTACAGGGTAGGAGCTGTGCCAGCACCGCGGCCCTAGGTTGACCTTTCCTCTTACCCTCTGCCCCACCGTTGGAAGACTTTGTCCCCTGAGAGAAGTGTCTTCCCTTCTGCCCTGGGAGTTGGCGCTGAGCTGTCTGAGGGGGAAGCGGGGAAGAGCAGCCGCCTTAGAGGTCGGGGTGTGGATGGGTAGCGTTGATGGGGAGAAAAGCAAACTGCAGGCAGGGAAGGGAAAGCTCAGGCAGAGTCTGCACGGCCTGGTCCTGGAGAGATGCACCTGGCGAAGGCCCATGGCATGAGGCTGCCAAGCACCGACCAGGAGGGAGAGATCTAATGGGGCCTGAGACACCATGAAGATGTGAAGCTGGCTGGCTGGAAATCCAGCTCTCATAAGGCAAGCAGAGAAAAGGGACTGGACAGGGAGGGAGCAAAAAAAGTCTTACAAAAATAGCTGTTGACAGTAAGTACCCAAAAAAAGAAAAACCCTCACCGTCAGTGCCCCCAAGTCTGCAAAATCCCAAACTGGCCAGCAAGTAGCCACAGCAGCTAAGTTGATAGGTAGTGCCGGTCCTGGTGGCCCGCAGGCTTGGGTTGGCTGTGGGGTAGCGCAGGTGGGAGGAGCTCAGGACAGAGCCCCACTCCTCCCGGACCCCAGGTTCATCAGCACAGCCGCCGCGAAGCGTCCACCGTGCCTGTTGTCTCATTTTCTCGGCCCGGCACTGGGCAAGGTGGACATTAAGAGACTTGTCCAAGGTCACCCTGCTAGTACAGAACAGATATGAGCAAGAGCCTCCCCTGCTCACACACAAGAGGGGTGGGGATGCCCAGGCCTTTGGGGAAGGAACAGAACCTTCTCTCCCTCCCTGGAGATGTGCGCTGAAGCCTCAGGCCTGGGCCGTTGGCTGTCTCCGGGGAAGGATGAGGGTATCAGGCATCCTGCCCAAGCCAAGGAGAACAGTAAATGGGAAACAGCGTGGGAAATCTGGTGGTTTTGGGAAGAGAGGAGACAGAATGCCTTCTAGGGAACAGTTAAAAACCCAGTCTTCCTTGTGAGCTTTTAGGAAGTAAACAGAGCAACACCGAGGGAAGACAGCACAGCTTTGAAATGAGGCCGAGCAGACCATTTGCCTTCAGGCCACACTCTGCAGGTCGCCCTCTCTTTCCACCGACCAGGCAGCACACCCTCTCTCCAGGCTGGGTCCCCCAGTTACCCGGACAGGGAGAAGGCAGACAAAGCAAGCCATCTGTGGCCACCCCGCCACCTTCATTCATGTAGTGACTAGCCTGCCACGTGTGCTGGAAGGGTCGAAGCCAAATGCCCGTTTTCTGGTCCAGCTCTGCCTCTTAACTGGCTGAGTGGCATTGGCCACCTCATGCCATCCTCCACCGCAGTTTTCCGACCAGTAGAACAGAAATGGGAATTAGGATCATTTGGGGAGTCTTGTCTAGCTTTCAAGTCTCTGACTGATTCTCCAAAGGAGTTGGACTCTTCTCGTTTCTGCTTTTGGCGGAGAATCCCCCAGCTCCTCCTCACGGTGGCCTGTGTGGTCCCGGAAAGCCACGAACTCCCTCTGTCCTGTGCTCCCTACCTTCCAGGAGAAGGCTCCGAGTCTGGTGCGAGCGGGGAAGACGCCCTCAGCAGGATCCAGCGGCTGATGGCGGAAGGGGGCATGACGGCCGTGGTGCAGCGGGAGCAGAGCACCACCATGGCCTCCATGGGCGGCTTCGGCAACAGCATCATCGTCAGCCACCGCATCCACCGCGGCTCCCAGACCGGCGCTGAGCCCTCGGCCACCCGCGCGTCCTCCCCCCGGCCCTCTGCCTCTCGGGGACTGCTCGCGGAGCCCGGGCAGCTGGCAGAGCGGGGCCTGAGCCCCCGGACAGCCTCCTGGGACCAGCCTAGTGCTCCAGGGCGGGAGCTGCCCCAGCCGCCCCTGCCGCCTTCCTCCCCGGTCCCCGTCCCTCTCCCCATTCCCCGCACCGAAGGACCAACCCTGCACTGCGACATGACCAATAACAACCACCTTGCTGAAGGCAGTGGCAGCGGCAGGGGGGAGGCTGCGGGCCCCAGCAGGGAGCCACGGAACAGGTAGAGACCCATGTGTGCACTGGTGCTTCCCCTTGGAACCGCTGAGCAGAAACTGGACCTCACAGCTGACTGGGAACTGTCCACGCGGAAGAGCTGCGGGCTGCATCAGGGAACAGGAGCAAGAGGGGGGGCCCCGAGTGAGGTCAGAGGCAGTGGGCTTGAGGCAGTCGAATGGGCAAGGCTTGCCTCGGGACTAGAACCTTCTGGAGGATCTGGAGCCCAGGGGAGCCCTACTGCTGTGCTCCGTGTAAAGGGAGGAGGAAGTGGGTACCCTGCCATGAACCCCCCCTTTCTCCCAGAAACATGGCTAGTGACTCACCACTGGGCAGAGAGCTCAGAAGGGTGAACTATCTTCCAGATCTGGGCCTAACCATCCAGGACAGTGGCCAGTGGGGCAGCTTTGCCCTGTCCCCCTGTTGCATGGGCAGAGCCACTAGGAGCCCAAGAGCAGGAGGAGCAGCCTGGCCCCCCCAGGAGCCACCTCCATCTCTGAGCCTTCCAGAGCTTCAGCCTCTTGATCTTACCCCACAGAGACCACAGTCAGGGGTCAGGCCAGGCTCCCGGATTCCTGAAGACAGGGACTTCCTGCACTTAGTGATGGGGGACAACCATGGAGTGAAGGGGGCAGCCTGCTTGCCCGATACAGGATGGGGTCAAGGGATGGTGGGCAGGTCCTCACTCAGGAGTGGGGGGTGTAGGCTGGCCAGCCCCCGGGGCTTGTCCACCAGGCTCCTCTCCGCCTGCCCCCCCGCCCCCCGGCCCTCAGAGCAGCACCTGTGGGTAACAGTATTACATGAGCCCAGGCCAAAGCCAGCCGCAGGCTGGGGGAGGGGATGAGACTCCAGGTCAGAGTGTGAGGTCTCGGTCTGTGACTTAAGGTGTTGCATGTGGAATCTTGAACTGTATGTGTAGTTTCTAGTGGAGAAATCAAGGCTCTGATTATTTTGTTTTTAGTATGAAAATGTGATTTCTTTTCTGTTTGTAACTCATCATAGAAACATTGTGGTGGGAGGAGAGGGGATAGTCTGACTGCTAATGAGGGAAACACCAAAGATCTACATCATTAAAATGATGACACGCCCCTCACCAGGCTCCTCTCTGTTTGTTTCCATGGAGGACGGAGGAGGGGGTGGTGATTGAGGGGTTGGGGGAGAGGGGGCCCCTGAACTAAGCGGGCCTGGGTTCTGTCATGCAGTTTCTGGTGCTGCTGTCCTATGTGGGGAGCCCTGTCTGTTGCCTCAGCAGAAGAAGCCAGTCAGGTATGGGCTGCCACGTGTGCATGGTACCCCGGCTCTGTGCCCCGCCACCTCCTGCTTCCCCCAGGCTTGCTAAGGATTGGGGCAGCCTTAACAGTGACAGGGGGGTAAGTAGCAATGACAGAAAGGCCCTCATCCTGATTGCTTCCTATCCAGGACTGTGGGTCTGGAATGAAGGTATGACTGTGACTGACCAAAAAGCTGGATCCTCGCTGGTGCCCGGAAACCACCCATCATGGGTGTCTGGGCTGGCCAGGTGGGGGCCTGGGCTGGTCTGCAGGCATCCCTCTAAGATGCCACTTGCCGGCTGCTCAAGTTCCCTTTTTTTTTTTTTAAGATTTTATTTATTTATTTGACAGAGATCACAAGTAGGCAGAGGCAGGCAGAGAGGAAGGGAAGCAGGCTCCCTGCTGAGCAGAGAGCCCGATGCGGGGCTCGATCCCAGGACCCTGAGACCATGACCTGAGCCAAAGGCAGTGGCTTTAACCCACTGAGCCACCCAGGCGCCCCTTAAGTTCCCTTTATTTTGTGTCGTGGCTGAAGGGCCTGCTGTAGCTGTGGGCCTTGCTTGGCCACTGTTGAGTTTCAAGCCACTTAGAAAGTGGGAGGAGGATATTTGCCCCAACTCTTAGAGAAGTATACAAGAAAGCAGCCAGCCCAGGGGTTTTTGCCAGCAATAGCTATTTCTTTTTTTAAAGATTTTATTTACTAGAGCGCGAGCATGAGTCCGGGAGGGGGCTGGAGGGGAAGAGGGAGAAGCAGGTTCCCTGCCTGCAGGGATTCCCGGAGAGGAACCCTGAGGTGGGGTTCGATCCCAGGACCCTGGGATCGTGACCTGAACCAAAGGCAGACGCTCAACCGATGAACCACGCAGGTGCCCAAGCAACGGCTATTTCTTGACTATCTCTTGTGTGCCCGACTCTGTCCCAGGTGCTCTGGAGCTTGTAGAATTACTGTCCCAACGGAGACAAAACCAAAAGATTAAACAGGCAAGCAAGTAATACAGAACAATGTGTAGAGCTATTACATAGTTACGAATGCTAGAACTTTCTGGAACATTATAACAGTAGGTTCTGGACTAAGACACATCAGCCAGCTGTGTGACCTTGGGCAAGCCACTTGCCTTTTATCTGCTTCATTTTCCTGCCTTGTAGTAAGATACAGAGCTTGTATTATGTAAACTCTTACAGTTACTTGGAACTCTGTAATTTCATTCTAGGTCAGAGAGCACTGGAGTGGTTAGGGCCAGCCTTCTTTGAAGATGTGGGATTTGAATTACTCATTGAAGGGCAGAAGGATTGCCCTACTGCAGTCCCTGCCCTCTACCCACATATCCCAACCCCCAGGGAGAGGAAGAATTCCTTGGTCTGACAGTAGAGACTATGAATTTGTTTAGTGTAAACCACGTGCCAAGGACTCAATGTGTATTATCTCTGTCCTCATCACAAAAACCCTCCAAGATGGGAACTGGTACCACCCCCCAAGCCAAACAACTAACTGACCCAGGGTTTGAACCCAGATGAGGACCCGACTTGCTGTTATTTTGGAAAACAGGGTTATGAAGAGGCCTTGTGGATGAGAGCATCCAACTTTGGTCCTGCCAGCCTTGCCTCTATCCTGTCTGGCCAATGAAGAGCCCAGCAGCTACCTGTCAAAACTTTATCTCCACATCAACCCCTTTCCTTCTTTAGAAAGCCCTCGCCTGGTGGATAGAAGCTCCCTACCAGGGACGCGTGGGTGGCTCAGTTGGTTAAGCCGCTGCCTTCAGCTCGGGGTCATGATCCCAGCGTCCTGGGATCGAGTTCCACATCAGGCTCTTTGCTCGGCAGGGAGCCTGCTTCTCCCTCTGCCTCTGCCTGCTACTCTGTCTGCCCGTGCTCGCTCGCTCTCTCTCTCTGACAAATAAATAAAATGTTAAAAAAAAAAAAAAGTTGAAATCATTAAAAAAAAAAAAAAAAAGGAAGAAGCTCCTTACCAGTAGTAGAGCCTCTGGGCCCCTTGCCTGTTAATAACAAGGTTGTGGGGTCAGCAGGACAGAGCTTGGTGGAGATGAGTTCGGTTCAGAGGAGTTCTATACACCCAAGTTGTCAATGAACCCAGTTGAGTCAAAGGCAGAGAGCAAAGACAAAACCAGGTCCCCTGGTTCCCAACTCTGCTCTCCATAGTTCACTGTTGGGTTTGGGATTGGAGGGGTCAACCCTACCTACCCCATGGTAAGGATTTCAGGGAAACGAGCAACTTTGCCTGACTGATTCTGGAAGAACTCAAGGCAGTGGTTGGAGACATTTCAATTTCTGTGGCCCCCATTCCTTGGCCTGGCTTGTTTCCCCTGTTTGACTTTATAAATATCTGGCCTCCCCTGTCTCCTCATTACACACACACACACACACACACATAGACACCCCCCCCCATAATTTCACCTTCCTAGGAGCACCCTCCTCTCCTAGACCCTAAGGAGAGAGATGGCAAAGTGGAACAAGGGCAGGACTATCATCTGATTGTCATATGAACCAGCTGAGCCCGTTTTCTCATCTGTGAAGTGGGGGCAAGAACAACAGCTTCTTTCGTCCTTGGTTATGAGGCTCATGGAAGACCAGATCATTCGCATTCAGTATGGAGAACACACCAAAAGCCCCGAAGCTCCCGGTCTTCCCCCAGTTACCGCCCCTTCTCTGACAGCTCCTGCCGCCTCCCCTCTACTGCCTTCCCCGCCTCCACCGCCCCCCTCACAGCCCCCCGCCTCCCCCCGTCCTTGGGGGAGGGTGGAGAGGCGGGACCTGAGTTGTTTTTCCAAGAGAAGGAACCCGCGGTCTTAAGGTTAATCCGGTGTTTGTGCTCAAAGAGTTTGGGGTAACAGGCATCAGGGCCTGGGCGTGAGGTGGGGGTGGGGAGGAACTAGTCGGACCCTGGCTGGCCCCAGGAAAGGTCGTGTCAGAAATGTGGGTGCCCTGTATTGCGGTGCGAAGCCTACAAGGTCAGGGTAGAGGTGGAGCTCTCCGAGGTGCTGAAGTCACCGGACTCGTTCGCTGGCGCCCCAGCCGCGGACGCTCCGCACAAGCAAGGACCCAAGTCTCCAGGCCCCGACCCATGCGGTTCCCGGAAACCTCAAGACACCACTCGCCCTCTGGGGTCTCGCTCCGGGCTCCGCCCCAGGTGACCTTGGGCACTCAGCTCTCCCTCACAGGCATCGGTGAACTCGCCCTCCAGGCCGCGGCTGCCTGGGCGGCGCGTCCCATCCCGGGGCCGGAGAGGGGATGCGCACCCCTTCCCCGGCCTGGAGTGCGGGAGCCGGGAGCCGGGTGGCGGCGGTGGTCGGGGGCCGGGCAAGTGTTGTGTGCGATGGCCGGGCTCCTCCCTCCCTGGCGGACTGTTGCCTGTCTTCTCTCTCCAGCTCCTTCCCAGGCCCCGACGGCGCCCCTCCTCTCTGGCAGCCCGGCGGCCGACTAGCGGCCCTGAGGCTGGAAGCTTCCGGCCCTCGGCTCTCTGCCCCGACGGAACCGTGACGGCTGAGCCGACCCCACCCACCCGTAACCTCTTGTTGGGGTCAAACACCCGCTCCTCCGAGGTCCCACTGTGAGCGGGGCCCCGTAGGGAGGGAGGTCCAGGCGGGGTGCGAGACCACCTCCAGGTCCCGGGTGCTTGGTCAGAGCGGAGGCGGAGAGCGCAGCCAGACGGGGCTGCCAGCTCCCTCCCCAGCCCGCGAGGGGGCGCCGCGTCCCCATGACAACGCGGACACCCCACCCCCCCACCCCAGCCTCCCGGGAGGGCAGCGCCCCCTGCTAAGCAGTACTGCCAGCCGGGGGCGGTGCCCCCATAGTGGCCGAGCGGGGAGCTTGTCGGCCGGCTCTAGTGAGGGGCGCGCGTAGCTGGGGTCCCCGACGCCCCGGGTGGTGCCCCCCGCGCGTCGCAGTTGGGTGGCCGGCCCGGGGCGGGCGGCGCGGCCCCACCAGGATTGGCTGCTTCCCCGTGACATCACGCGGCTCGGGGAAAAGTGCGAGCGTGAGCGCGAGTCGAAGCCACAGCGCCGGGAGCTGCGGGCGGAGCAGGGGCCGCCCCTCGGCACCCCGTCCCCGCCCCCGGCCCGCGGCCCGGCCTCGCGCCCCGCCCGCTGGCCCGCGGGCCGCCCGCTGGTCCCGCCGTCTGTCAGGTGCGAGGGGACCGGGGCGGAGGTGTCTGGTAAGTGACTACGCGGCGGCGCGGGGGCAGGGGGACTCGGTTGGGGGAGAAGGACGTGGGGCTCCCGGACCCTCTGAGGCTCCCCGGAGACGGGTCCCACTGGGACGGGGCCCCAGGCTCTTTTGGGGACGAGCGCGGTGCTTGGAGCTGCACAGAGCCCGAGGGTGAGGGGCCCCGCGGGAAGAAAGACCCGGAGTCTCGGAAGCTTCTCCAGGTGCGCCTCTGGGAGGGAATGGACATTCAGGAGGTCGGGGGAGGGGTGCCCGCCCACAGCCCTCAGGGCGCCAGGGGCAGCCGTCGGGGGCGGGACCCCGCACTCCAGCCCTCCCACGGGCAGCTCTGGAGGGCGCCAGGCTCTGGAGCCCTAAGGAGCCTTTTTCCCGCCCGTCTCCCCGCCCCCAACCCCCGGCGCTGCCAGCCCACTCCGGTCCATGAAGTCCTCCATCCGCGACCTTGAACCCCGACGGAAATACCCCTACCCTCCCCTGGCGCCCCTCCCCCACTCTAGGACTACCGCCTGCTGTTGTCCAGGCTCCGAGCCTCGGTAGAGCCCGGGAGAGCCGGAGCCAAGCCCCGGGCCCAGGGGCGGAAGTGTCAGGCGCAGTGTCCCCGGCGAATTCCCTGAGCCTCTTTTCCCTCCTGTGAACTCTTGAGTCTCTTCTCCCGCCCCAGGGACGGATCCAGGGGCACAGCCTTTCCGGAGCCTTAAAGTGAATGCCTAAGAACCAAGACCCACACCCCAACCCCCTCCCCACGACGTCCAGAGCACGCGCTCCCTTCTCGTCCGGAAAAGGGGGGGCTCCAGAACCCGGGAAAGCACGGTGCCCACGCCCAGAGGCTGCAGGAACTGCGTGCTAGGGGGTTGGGGGGAGGGCGGGGCACCGGAGAGCCAGGGCCCCATTGACCAGGAAGGGGACCTGGAAGCGCCTCCAGGAGAGCCCAATAATAACTCCCAACCCGGCCCTCGAGGTCCACCCAGGCCCAGAGCTCCAGAAACCGGGAGCCCACTCTAGCCGCTGGGGCCAGATGGTGCCTCTCCGGCGGGGTGCAGGGTTAGAAGTGTGGGAGGGAATGAATCTTACACTCAACTGACCTAAGCCCCGGCTGGGCCTCCCCGTTTTGGGGGTGCTGCCGGTATACTCCCACCGGCTGACTGGGCACCCTTTGACCATAATGCTCCTGAGCACGCTGAGCTGAGCCGGCTGTCTTGGAAGGCCAGTGGGGCGACTCCAGCAGAGGCCCCTCGACAGAAGTCAGTCCCAGGCTGGGACACCACGCCACAGCGTTGGGGACCCATACACCACTGGGCGCTGGCTGAGACGATGCCCCAAGGTCAGGAGGCCCGTCGCAGCCCAGATTGTAGTCTAGCCGCTACCCCTTCCCACCCACGAGCGGGGCACGGGCACACTTCAGACACTGGCTCTAGACTGGATCTTCTCTGCGCTCAGACAGCGGAAGTCTGAACTGAGGTCCCCTGGCAGGGCGGTTTGAATGCGGGCAGGTCACCTACTGTGGGCTCTGCGTTTGCTCTTGTACGCAAACTCACAGGTACAGGCATACCCAAATCGTGTGCATTCCCCAGACCACAGCACCCCGGGCCCGCGCCCGCATGCACAAGCACGTGTCCACATGGCATGGGCCTGCTCACGCGCACACGGGCCCACTGGTATCCAGGCGTGGCCGAGCGCGCACACACGCACATGCAGACAGCTACTCGCTTCTACTCGCGCTCCCCAGTAATCACACACAAACAGAACTCGCACTCGCCTTCCCGCCCACACGTTGCTCCGCGGGGCCGGGTGGAAGCCCGGCGCCCTTGACTTTCCCACCACTGAACCCGCGCGGCGCCGAGGGCAGCTCGCGAGCAGAGCCTGGCAAAGGGGTGGGGTTGCGGGGTGCGGGCACGTCCTACCCTTGGGAGGCCCTGCCCTGGAGCCTCTGTGTTCTCCGTCGCACTGGAGTTGGGGGCGGCGGCAAAGAGCCGCCGCCCGCCCGGAGTCAGGAGCCGGCACCCAGGGCTCGACATTGCCATCTAGCGGTGTGCACAGCCCTGGGCAGCGGCTGCTCGACTCCCGGATCTCCGGATCTCCGGCGGGCCTGCATGGCAGAGAGAGGCCCCAGAGAGGGTTGCTGTCAGAATGTGTGCGGGGGGGTGGGGAGGGGACCGAGGGGTTCAGAAAGATGCTGGGGCGGGAGTCGGCAAGGCACCATGCTTCACCCTTTCTGCCGCTGGCAGCTTCCCCTAGCGGACCCAGAGGGGAACTAAACCACTTGTCACCTCCTTGGAGACAAGATGTCTGTCCCCCATGGAGATAAGAGGTCTCTTCTGGGAAAGCTAAGTGGGGGAGCCGGCAGGGAGCGGGAGGGAACCCTTAGTTCTTTGATTTTGAGCAGTAGACAGCAGAGGCAGGAAATCCACCTGAGACAGTTTGAGGTTGAGAAGGTGGCTCCTGTGTTCTAATTGAGCCCTTCCCCCTTACACACGGGATGACTTTGGGCAAGTTAATTAACATTATCCTCATCTGTAGGAAGATAGTTACATCAGTGAGATGGGGATACTAATAGTACCGGCCTTATCAGGCTTCTGTAGGGATTAAACCAGGTAATCTGCTGAAAAAGCTCAGAAGGATTCTTGACTCCTAGTTAACACTCAGTAAACCAGGGCTCCTATGTTTTTCGTATTTGGGACTTCTGGCCCCATTCCCATCTCGCTGGCCTGTGTCCTGGCCCCTGGAGGCTGAGATGGGGCTTTCTTTGGAGCTGGCGGACAGATCCATCCTGCCCACCCTGCACCGGCTTGCACCTGCCTGGGGAGGGCCGGCCCTCCCTGCTAGGTGCTTCTGCCCTACCAGCTCAGAGGGAGACACCGGAAACTCTCCAAGATGAAATGGGGCTGTCAGGGACCCCAGAGAGGCTGATTTTTAGCCTTTGCCCTTGACTCATGTGTGACCTTGGAAATGGCAACACCCCTCTTTGAGCCTCTCCTCCTGAGAACCAAGGATTTAGACAGGGGAATGTGAACTGCCAGGCCAGGAGGCTGGGGCTGGGTCTGCAGAGGGGAATGAGAGGGGTTGAGGCCAGGCGTGGGGTGGGGGTGGGTCACCCTGGTTCTTGCCTCTAGCCTCTGGCGCATTTTCTTGCGGCAGATGGAAAGTTCAGTTGCTGGTCCCCGTAGCTGCTTGGGAGGGGTCTGGGACGGGGTCCTCTCTGTTTTTGCAAACGAGAAAGAGAGGGGTGGGAAGGTGAGGTGGCTGATCTAGAGCCAGGACCCTGCTGGCCTTGGAGCCTGGGCTGCTGGGTGAGTGCTCCTTCCTCCACACTGGCTGCCTCGCCCTCTCTCTTCCTCTCTGTCACACACAGACGTTGTGTATACGACAGCGCGCGGGGCTGGCGGGGCTGGGACGGGGCCCGTGTGCGTGTGTAATGGTGCGTGTGTTGGCGGGTGTGAAGGAGGCTGGGCTGAACGGCTGCCCTGGCATAGCGCACTGGGCGTGGGCCTCCCTCACGTGTATGGGAGAGGAAAGCAGGGGAGAGATGAGGAGGGCCCTGGGTGGGAGCGGGTACAGGCTCAGCGGAGGGGCCGTGTGCTTGGGTGGCCCTAGCCGGGATGCTCTCCATGTGTTCTGGCGGGCCAGGAGGTGCCCTCGGGGTGGCCACAGGCTCCCTCGCAGCGTCCCCCCCTTCCCTCTGGGATACTTTGAGGCCCCTTTGTGTCCCCAGTTGGGCCGAGAGCTCGTGCCGGCCCCTTGGAAGCCCTTGTGTCTTTCCTTGGCTGACAGGCACTCTCAGCTTCTGACTCCTCCTGGTCCTCCCTCAGCCCCTTACTGTGGATGGTCCTTACCACCCCTGCACTGAGCGCCCCCCCCACACCCTGGGGCTGGGATGGGGAGCTCGGAGAGGGGAGGCTGTGTTGGTATGTACCTTCCTGGGCCCTCTACATGGCACTCTCCTCGTCCTCGGTGGTTCCCCACTCCAGGCCACCCCGGTCATCCCCGGAGCCTTCCCCAAGGTGGCCTCACGGGCTCTTGTGGCTCTTCAGGTCTCCCTCTGCCAGAACCCTTAGGCTTCTGGGGCAGCAGCAGGACGTCAAGGACTTGTGGAACTTTGGGCAGGTTATTTAGTATCTCTGTGCCTCAGTTTCCTCAGCTGGAAGTAGTGAAAAATAAAGGTTTCTACTTCACAGATGTGTCGTGAGGAAGACCTTAGTTAATGTTGATAGAAAGTAAAGAAAAGTGCCCGACACTTAGTAGATGAGAAGTCTTAGCTGCTAATATATATTCTTGCCTGTGTCCCCAGTGCCATCTAGGAGGATGGAGGACAGGTCCCCCGGGATGTTTGATCACAAAATGACTGAGGAGGTCAATGAACGCTCCTGACCAGAGCTACATGCTGACGTCTGGGACCACTGAAGACCCTCCCCATTGCTTCTCTGGGGCCTGCACACACTGGCCTTCTCTCTCTCTGCCCCATATGTACCCCAGGGCCTTTGCTCTGGCTATTGCCCCGACTAAGCCACCTCTGTGACTCTTCACATGGCTGTCTCCCTGCCATTGTCCAGATCCCCTCCTTGGAGAGGCCTTCACTGATCACCCAACAAGGAAGCATCCCTGTCTCTCCTCTGACTCACCCACTATATACCATTTGCCCTCTTGTTTTCCTTCCAGCTTTTTTTTTTTTTTTTTTTTTTGTGGTTTGCACGTTCGTCTGTCTGCCCCGATCAGACTGGAAGCTCCGTGAGGGTGGGGATCTTGTGTGTCTCAATCACTTCCGTAACTCCTGTATCCAGGACGGTGCCTGCACACAGTAGGCGCTTAATATGTGATAAATGGGTGAAGAAACGAGCCAGTGATGGGCGGAGTTTTCCAAGGTCCCACAGGACGATGTTCCTTTGTCACCTCATATTACCTCTCTAAACTCCTTCAGCAGCTCACCCTTTCCTCTCTCCCTCCTCCTCCAGACACTGCCTGGCTGCCCCGGCTAACCAAAATGGCGAATATCACACCAGTCAATGGCAGCTCGGGCAACCAGTCCGTGCGCTTGGTCACGTCCACGCATAACCGCTACGAGACTGTGGAAATGGTATTCATCGCCACGGTGACGGGCTCGTTGAGCCTGGTGACTGTCGTGGGCAACATCCTGGTGATGCTGTCTATCAAGGTTAACAGGCAGCTGCAGACAGTCAACAACTACTTCCTCTTCAGCCTGGCATGTGCCGACCTCATCATCGGCGCTTTCTCCATGAACCTCTACACCGTGTACATCATCAAGGGCTACTGGCCTCTGGGCGCCGTGGTCTGTGACCTGTGGCTGGCCCTGGACTATGTGGTGAGCAACGCTTCGGTCATGAACCTCCTCATCATCAGCTTTGACCGCTACTTCTGCGTCACCAAGCCCCTCACCTACCCAGCCCGGCGCACCACCAAGATGGCAGGCCTCATGATCGCCGCCGCCTGGGTCTTGTCCTTCGTGCTCTGGGCGCCCGCCATCTTGTTCTGGCAGTTCGTGGTGGGCAAGCGGACGGTGCCAGACAACCAGTGCTTCATCCAGTTCCTGTCCAACCCGGCGGTGACCTTCGGCACTGCCATCGCGGCCTTCTACCTGCCTGTAGTCATCATGACGGTGCTCTACATCCACATCTCCCTGGCCAGTCGCAGCCGAGTCCACAAGCACCGGCCCGAAGGCCCCAAGGAGAAGAAGGCCAAGACCCTGGCCTTCCTCAAGAGCCCCCTGATGAAGCAGAGCCTCCAGAAGGCCCCGCCGGGGGACGCGGGCCCCGAGGAGCTGCGCAACGGGAAGCTGGAGGAGGCCCCTCCCCCGGCCCTGCCGCCCCCGCCGCGCCCCATGGCCGACAAGGACACTTCCAATGAGTCCAGCTCAGGCAGCGCCACACACAACACCAAGGAACGGCCCCCCACGGAGCTGTCCACTGCGGAGGCCACCACGCCGGCCGTGCCCGCCCCTCCCCTCCAGCCACGGGCCCTCAACCCCGCTTCCAAATGGTCCAAGATCCAGATTGTGACGAAGCAGACTGGTAATGAGTGTGTGACAGCCATCGAGATCGTCCCGGCCACGCCCGCGGGCATGCGTCCGGCGGCCAATGTGGCCCGCAAGTTCGCCAGCATTGCCCGCAACCAGGTGCGCAAGAAGCGCCAGATGGCGGCCCGGGAGCGCAAGGTGACTCGGACCATCTTCGCCATCCTGCTGGCCTTCATCCTCACCTGGACGCCGTACAACGTCATGGTCCTGGTGAACACCTTCTGCCACAGCTGCATCCCCGAAACGGTGTGGTCCATCGGCTACTGGCTCTGCTACGTCAACAGCACCATCAACCCCGCCTGCTACGCCCTCTGCAACGCCACCTTTAAAAAGACCTTCCGGCACCTGTTGCTGTGCCAGTATAGGAACATCGGCACAGCCAGGTAGGCGGGCAGAGGCGCCACAGGAGGTGCTGGTGGTCGCGTGTGTGCGCTGAGCCGCGGGGGTGGTCGCGGGGGTGGTCCCTCCCGTGGCGGTCGCGGAGAGGTCTGGAAATCTGGAAGCGTCTCTCCGCCTTCCTGTTCACTGAAGAGAACTGAGGTCCCCGAGAGCCCTGTGAGGCTCAGGAAGCAGCTGTGGTGGGATGCAGACAGACCAGATCTCCACTCAGCACAGGCCGAAGGAGGCTCAGCCCCAGAAGTGTCTGGAGCAGACTGCCCGGCGCCCCCTCTGTTGGCCCGCCTCAGGTTGCTGGGAGGCGCTGGGCTTCTGGGGCACCTGGCCCACTGTGACCAACCGGCGCGGCTGGGAGAATGGACATCTGGGGGGGGAGCAGAAGCCCGGGATCCCCGTGGGAGGAGCAAGGGAGCCGATGCTGGGGAAAGGAGGCTTGGGAAGGGAGTGGAGGGGTAGGGTCCCCCCATTCTGCTGTAGTTGGTGCTTTCTCCCTGCTGCACCCCGCATGTAGGCCCAGCCCCTCCTCCCAGGTCCCATTCCAGGGGCAGAGCTCTCCTTGCTGCAGCCACTCGGCCAGGCGCTGGTTGGGTGGGCGGGTGGGCTAGCTGGAGGCCAGGCCCTTCTGGGCTCTCAGGCACCCCCCTTCCCCTCTCAACCCCTTCCCCCCAGCACTGTCCTGGTCATGGTCAGGATGGGGCAGCTAGGAGGTCAGCATCTCACGCTCAGGAGCGGAGGTCTGGCTTCCTGCGGTCCCGCGCTGAGCAGAGAGGGCCCCCCGATTCTGAAGAGCCCCCCCAGCAGGCTTCTGCAGCATGTGAGGGAGGCCTGGGCTGCCAGGGAGAATGGGGGCCAACTTGACCCACACAGGGTTCAGGCAAGCAGCTCCCATCTCCTCTCCCCCAATGGATAGAACCTTCTATTGGTAGTGGGTTGTACCAAAAGACCTTTGCTTGAGAGTGGCTGAGATGTGGAGTGTCAGTTCTAGGGAGCCTTCTGGCTTCCCAGCTCTGGTGTGCCCCCCGCCACCCAGACCAGACTGAAAGGCTCGGGATGGATGGGGGCACCCTTTCAGGAGTCAGTCAGGGCCCTGAAAGCAATTTTTCATAACCATTCTGCTTTTTCCATGAGCTCTGGGGAGCACTCACGGCCAAGCCCCCCAGCCCCCTGAAAGCCACATCCCTACCGCCTTCCCTTTCCTTCCCAAGTTTCTGCCCCAACAAATTACCACAGCAAACTCCCTGGGTTGGGGCTTTTATATATTAAATGAAAAGCTTTTATTGGGAAAAAAACAAAACAAAACAAAAACACGACTGTTTATTTATTTCTCAGTAATGGCATCTTTGTGGGGAAGAACAAAAGGGGGTACCGGGAATCACATCCCTCTGGGGCAGGAGGCTCAAGCTGTCCACAATCCCCTGTCCCTCCCCATCTGGGACACTTGGGGGTGGGGGCACAGGACTGAAAGGGAAGAAGCAGGGTATGATTGATAAAGCTAATGAGTAGACAAAAGGCACTGGTAGGTTAGATCTTGGGCCTGTGGGAGGGAGGGCACCGGCCCTGGGCTCCTCGGCATCCAGACCTGGCTGCTAATCCTTTCCTTTCCCTTTCTTGGCTGTAAAACAAGCAAGAAATAGCGTGTTATCGGAGTCACCTGAAGTTCAGGTGACCTGGTAGAGACCCCCTGTATATACATTAAGGAGAAAATTCTGCCCCCTAGTGGCTGCAGATCTGCGGACCGGGTCCCTGGAGGGAGAGCGCAGCCATATTGATGTTGGAAGGGCCGCCACACCGACTCGGGACACTTTCATTGGGGATTAGGAAATCTTCAAGTTCTTGGTCCTAGGGGCCCTCAGCCTCCACCTCCTCACCTAGCAAGGTGGGCTGATTCACCTCTGCCCTGATGGCCTCTCTAGGCTGCTGTGAATTGGCAATGAGCTAAGGGGTGGTGGGAGTCAGGACTGGGAAGTCCTGATACTAGAAAGGACCCAAGCTGACCAAATGTATCCTCTGGCTGGAGAGGTGACAAAGCCAAGCCCTTCTGGGACAACTCCCTGACTCCCAAGCAAAATGCTCCAACAGAACCAAATGAGTTTGTACTTCCACTCTGGCCAGAAGGATTTGATAATCCTTGACCTCCTTTAGTGGCTCACCCTCAGTACCTGCCCATCTAAGGCATCTCTACGGACAGAAAAAGCATAGGGCAGAGGTGTCAAGAAGTCACCGCCACAGTCCAGAACTTTAGGCTTAACCATTCCCTCTCACAGGTTGTGGAAGGCCCCGGCAATGACCACCCCCAGCCCCCAACCAGTTCCCTGACCTTTGGCCTTGGCTTTGGTCTTGGGGGTGCAGGGCTTGGTCACGCGGATGGTCTCCTGGCACTGGGCATTATACCGCGCCTTCTTCAGGGTGCCTTGGCGGGCTTTGGTGCCCGTGCCCCCATCACACGCCCCCCAGCTCTCAAACTTGTACTTGCAGTCCGCTGTCGGGAGAGCGCCCTGGGTCAGATCTGGGGGCCCAGTGGTGGCCACAAACCTGCCCAGGTTTCAGTGAGGCTGCCCCCCCCAGCCCTCCCTCCGCCTGCGCCCCATCTCACCTCCAAACTCCTTCTTCCAGTTGCAAGGCACCCTGCACCGGGTACGCTGAGTCTGGGTCCCACAGGTGCCCTCGCGGAAGCCCACGCCGCAGTCTTTGCTGCTGGGGGTGCAGGGCCCCCAGGCCCACTCCGCGCACTCGGTCCCCGGGCCGCCCTTCTTCACTTTGTCTAAGACGCACGGGGAACGGAGCTCAGACTCACTCGGGGACCGCTTCCTGGGGTCCCGGCCTCGGAATGCCGGCGGCCAGGCCCGAGGCTGCCGGCCTCACCCGCCGGTCTCCAGCCCTCCTTCAGTCCCCCACACCCCGTATCACCTTTCTTTTTGGCCACCGCGGAGGTGAGCGCCAGCAGGGTGAGGAGGGCGAGGAGGAGGAAGCCTCGGTGATGCATCCTGCGGGGAGATGTCGGGTCAGCGTCCCCCAGCCGCCCCCTTCCCCACGGGGGCGCCGCACGCGCGCACCTCCCACCCCCGGCCCCACTCTCCAGGCCCACGGGCCGCCGCGACGGCGGCGGGAGGGCTCTGGGGTCGGCCCCTCGCCGCTAGCCGGGGCGCACAGCCCAAGGTGTCTCGCTGGGGGCGGCCTGGAGTCCAGGACGCAGCTCGGACCGCCACCCCGCCCCCGGGGCCCGGGTCCGGCCGGGGCCCAGCGGGCGAAGGGCCCAGGCCGCCGCTGCAAGTCCGCCGGGGCCCCCGCGCGCTCACTCGCTCGCTGCCCGCGGTGCTGCGCTCCCTCCCGCGCCGGGCCAGTCCCGCTCCGGCCGCCGCGGCCCCTTTTGTCTCCAGAACCGGTCTGAGCCGGTCACATGGGCCCCCGCCCCCTTCCCGCCCCCCCACCCCCACCGAGGAAGGACCCGCCCCGCCCCCTCCCCTCAAACCCGCACCGCCCCCCGACCCCGGCGTCCCCGCCTCCGCTCCCGCCCCGCGCCCCCCGGCGCTTCTACCCCGGCTTCCCGCCGCGGGTCCCAGCACCCCCCGTTCGCTCCGCCTGGGCAGTCCATGCTCAGACGGCGGGCTCTGCCTGTCCCCCATTTTCCGAGCCCGGGGTCTCCCGGCCCCAGGCCCCTGTCCTGCCCGGGCTCCCCGGGGCCCTGCCCCGGCCCCAGCTTTCCGCCGCCGACTCTGCCCCCTTCGCCTGGGGCCGTTCTCTTTCCCCGATGGACGCCCGCCCTTCTTCTCGGGGAGGGAAGCCCGGGCGGATGAGGACTCGGGAGGGAGCTCGGAGCTCCGGGGGTGTCACGGGTACCGGCGCTCCCAGGGCCTGCGTTCCAGCCTGTGCGAGGCTCCGTCCCCGGATGACTATTTAACCCCGTCGAGGACCGGCTCTCTGCGCCCCCTTAGGTGCTGGGGACAGAGCGCCAGCCCCACCTCGGGTCGCTTCACCAAGTGTGCAGGGAGCCGCTCCGCTGAGTGTTCGGGGAGCCTGGGACGGGGAGCCCCAGAGAGAGCGCTCGGGCTCGGGGGACGCGGGCCGCGCCGCTCCTTTCAGGAGCGCAGGTTTTCGGGGGCGGGAGCTGGGGGAAGTTGGGGGAGGAGGAGCCCTTAGGCCGGGATTTGGTGAGGTTTGGGAGCTGACAAGAGCCCTCTGAGAAGTTCCAGACGCAGCCAAGGCGGCGGCTGCAGACGCCCACCCCTTCCAATCCTGGGGCCTGGGGGTTCACCTCACCCGATCCCCTAAACAGCAAAAGCAACCGAGTCCTAGGGAAGGGGGCTTGCCCAGGGCCACAGGGCACGGGGCCGAAGAATCCAGGCCTCGCCCCCCGCCCCACCTCTCTTTCACTTTCATTGTTGTCGTCCCTGCGGGAAGCGGGAAGCGAGAGGAAATCAGCTCCTCCCCCCGGCCCCGCCGAGCCGCGCAGCCAGGCAGAGGTCAGGTCCGGGGCAGGCCCTGAGACCCCACCCCCAAATGGGAACCAGGAACACCCCCCCTCCACACACACAAGAAAAGGTCTGGGTCCGGGGTGTCTAGTCTCCCCACCACCAGACCCCGCTGCTTCTGGAAGACCTCCTCCGCAAGTAAAGAAGAGCAGAAAGGAAAAAAATCCTCTTTACTGAGTCACACCCAGCTGTAAACATGTCACCACGAGAGCCCCCACTCCAACCCCCAGGCCACACAGTCCGCGGTGATGAAATGACTGGGTACACAGGGAGGGTCTCTGGGGGTGGGCACCAAGCGGGGCAACGGGCGCAAAGGCGGCAGCTTCTGTGTTTCCGGGAGGAAGCTCCCTAGGAGGGTGGGATGGGGCAGGAGAGGGGGCCCAGGCTGCCAGGCTCAGAGTCAGGGCCCTCACCAACCGGGTGGCTTAGGAACCCTCTTCCCAAAGGCTCCCCGATAGGGTCCCCAGCCCCGCTGCCCTCCCCCTGTATCCCAAGGCCCAGGGAGGGCACCCATGGCGGGGAGGGCGAGGGCCGCCCTGAAGTGGTCCAGCCCCAGCCCCCTCAAAGGCCTGCCCCGTCCAGTGCAGTCTCCTGTCCCCCTGTCAGCCTGGGGTCAGGTTGAGGCCTCAGGCCACAGGTGAGATCCCCCAGCTCCTCAGAGTCCAGCCCTAGGCCTGGGCAGCTCCTCAGGGGGCAGCACGGGGCTCCTTCCCTGGGGCACGGGTCCCCCCGTGGTCATCCGACTGGAATGTGGCAGTGAGGTGGGCGATGGGGGGCTCCCCCTCCGGTGGCCGCGGGCCTCGCGGCTACACAGCTGTCTCCTGGTCCTCCCGGTGGACCATCTGGTAGTGCTGCCGGTTCTCCAGGTAGGCGGCCAGCTCTGTGTCCTGGGCCTTCTCCGCCCGCTGCCGGGGAGTGTCGCCCTGCGGGGGGAGGGGGGAAGGGCAGCGGCCATCACTTCTGGGGCCTCGGGAGATGGCCCGGGACCTCCCCTCCAGGTGGCCAGTGAGGAAAGGAAAAGCTTCAAAGGACAGGCAGTCATGCCCCTCCCGCCCCGCACCGCGGGCTCAGGTTTCTCAGAATCCAGACGGTGTTGGTTAAAAGAACAGCTTCCAGTCCTAAAAGGCAGCCCTTCTCCATGGCTCCCGCTCACAAGGGCGGGAGCTGGAGACAGGGCTGCCCTGTGCCCGCGTGGACGCCCTGCACGGCTGCTCACCTGCTGGTCCGTCTTCATGAGGGAGGCCCCCGCCTCCACGATGTAGTGGCAGATGGTGCGCTGGCCCAGGGCTGCCGCCTGGTGCAGACAGGTCTCCCCGCTGTGGAAACGGGCTGGCTGTGGACCCCCGTCCTGTCCTCGGGGTCCTCTTGTCCGCCTCCAGTGGGCGATCAGAGAAGGGAGCTCGGGGCTGAGGGGCAAGGGATGGGGCCTGGAAGGGTTTCTAGGCTCTGGCCAGCTGAGTGGGAGGGGCTGGAAGACGGGGCAGTTTCCAGGGTCTGGCACTGCCCAGATACTCACTTCTCCTCCACAGCGTCAAGGATCTCTGGGGGTGCTGGAGGAGAGGGGACGGGGCAGTCAGAGAAGACTGGCAGCCTCCCCTCCTCCCGCCTTGGCTCTAGCCCGGGCCCCCTGGGGGTGCTGGAGGAGGGACAGGGCAGTCAGAGAAGACTGGCAGCCTCCCCTCCTCCCGCCTTGGCCCTAGCCCGGGCCCCCTGGTGGCCCAGCTCACCGTGGTCCAGCAGGTAGCGGACCACATCCTTGCTGCCCGTGCTAACGGCATGATGCAGGAGTGTTCGGCTCTGCTCGTCCCGGTGCATAAGGTCGCCCCCAGCTCGGTGCAGCTCCTGGAGCTGAGGGCAGGGGACAGAGCAGGGTTGGGGCTCCTCAGGGCCATTTTCCTGCCAGCCACAGAAATGTCCCCCAGTGCACAAAGGTCGTAGGCCTGACACTACGGCACTCACACACATCATCCCTCTGGGGGGGTGGGTCTTTCTGGAGTGCAGGGGAGAGACCCTGGGCTTCTGGACTCCTCAGGAGCACGGACCCTCAAGTCACGGGGCCAGTGGATTCCCTAACACTCGTTCCTTCCTGAATACTGGGGAAAGACAGACTGTGCTAAGCCCCTATGAAGGGACACTGTGAGGGAGACAGGGACAAGGCGGAATACGGCAATCACCACGGAGACCCTGTGGAGGGGCATCCAATCAGATGACAGCTCCTGGACAGGCTAACTTGGCCCCACCCAGAGGCCCTGACCTCCCTGGGTGCGACCTCCCGGCTACCGCTAAGGGGCCACGGGGCCATGGGGCAGAGGAGCCCAGCCCTGGCTAGTACCTTACAGAAGTTGTTCCTCTTGGCAGCCTCAATCAGCTCCTCACCTGCACAGAACACCTGCCGTCACACTCGGGGGCCGCAGACCCGACCCTGCGTGGGTGCACAGATGTGCCGGCCAAGGTGTGGGTCTGCCTGGGGCGCCCACACTAGGCTCGGGGTGGGGTGACCCCAGGCCCTGGCGGGCTGTGGCTGCAGCAGGCTGTGTGTGTGGGCTCCACCCCCACCCTGGACCAGGGAGAAGGGCTAGGCCTCACCTTTAGGGGGCGCCGTATCCCCTGACAGTGACCTGCAAGCAGAGCAGGATGAGATGGGACCCAGAGACCGTTGTCACCCCCCCACCACCAGGGGGCGCCCTGTGTTGCGTCAAGTTTATTGAGTGCCCCCTACAGAGCAGGCCCTTTGCCAGGAGCCAGCCACACAGCAGAGAACACGACACATGGAGAGCTTGCTCTCACGGAGCTTACATTCTAGTCAGGGAGACACACAAGTCAACACATAAATCAGGCCTTCTCAGAGCAGGAAGGGCTACGAAGAGCACAAGACACTGGGGTGGTATGATCTCACAAGCGTCAGCTGGGGTTCCTGGGGAGACTTCTCTGGGGAGGGAACCCCCAAGCTGAGGCCTGAGTGGAGCAGGGAGCTTGGCGAGGAATGGGGGACCTTTCTGAGGTGGCAAGAAAAGGGCAGAGGCTGGCACAAAGGGCCGGGAAGAGCACAGCACTGGGCAGTGGGGAAGGACGTGAGGTTGGAGGCTCCAGCCCAGGCTGCTGTGCTCGGAATCCTGGAGGACAGCACACAGGACTCGCAGAAGAGAGATCAGAGGGGGAGCCCGGGTCTCCAGCCAGCACAGTAGGGTGGATGGTGCTGGCACTGCCCCGGGGATCAGAGGGCTGGCCAGTTGAGCTTTGGGAAGGTTTGGTTCTCCGCCAGTGACTCCGCCAGGGAGGGTCTGTAGGGACCCAGCAGCTAGCAGGACACCGGACACATGTCTGGCGCCGAAGGCAGGATGTCAGGAGGTACCGGCTTATAGGTGGGGTTTCGAGCCAGGGGGCTGGAGGAGACGCAGGACTCACCGGAGTGTGGGAGAGCAGGGGGAGGTGGGGAGGGGGGAAGTGGGGGTTGGGAGGTCAGGCCGGGCCGATGCCCCCAGCAGCTCAGGGTCCAAGATATAAATCTCGTCCTGTGCGATCTCCGTCACATAGTTGAGGTGTTCCTGTGGGTGGGGAGGTCAGGGGCCGAGAGTCAGGACCTCCCAGGGTAGCCGATGCGGGCAGTGCAGATGCAGCCAGGCCGGAAAGACCTCCGCCAGGAGCACAGATAGCCGCAGGTGGAAGCTGGGTGAGGGGACCCTGCCAGTCTCTCTTCCCCTTGCCTTCCCAGCTCCTTGCCATGCTAAGCCTCTGCCTGGATCACCTAGCACCTGGCCAGAAGTGCCTCCACCTCTGGAGCTCACTGGGTGGCCCCTGTGCTCCGAAGCCCGTGCCCCCACCCAGCCAGACTTTTCTGGGCACGACAGCTCCATGTGCCTGTGGGCAGTGTGCCTACACCTTATGCGCGGGTGGGAGCAGGTGTGCGGGCCCCATCCAGCAGGACAACAAGCGGACCCATCTGTGAAGCTGCGGGCCAGAGGCAGAGGGGCCCCTGGGCTGGCCCAAACGACCTCAAGCTGCTCACCTGGGCCCGGTCGATCCTGTAGAAGCGGCTGGCAGTGGTGGCTGTGAGGAAGCAGAGAGCTGTCTGAGGTGGGAGGAGGCCCTTAACCAGGCCTAGAGAGTCTGCTACCCCACCAGGAGCCCTTTGGGAGGGGGCAGGACACAGCCCAGGACTGCCAGGAGCTGGCACTCACCGTCTAGGAAGCACCACTTGGGGGACAGTTTCTGGCAGGTAGGGGACTTGGCTCCAGCACCTTCGGGCTCCTGCCGAGAGAAGCCAAGGCCAGGAGTTGGAAGAGAATAGAAACTAGGGTGGGTGGGTCCACACCGGGCCAGCTCCCGACTCCCTCACCTGCTGGAGCCTCTCGATGTGGGCGCGGCAAAGCTCCAGGTCGCTGTCTCCAGGGACCACCACAGTGCCCAGTGGCACAGCTGGGGGACAGAGCAGGCCGTCAGCAGCTGGCCGTCCCCCCTCAGCCCCCTGCCCAGCCCTCAGGGCCCTCAGCGGCTCCTTGCCGCCCCGCCCCCGGCCCGCCTGCCACTCACAGGCCTCCTTGAGCTGTTCCTTGTCGTAATGCAGGGCCTCGTAGTCGTGCATGCTGACTCTGCTCACCTGGACCCGCAGCTGCTCAGGCACGGGCTGCTGGCTAGGGCGAGGGCGGCAAGAGGGCACTCGGGAAGCGTCCTCAGCTGGGCGCCGCACCCAGGGGCCCCGCCCCACCTCCCCGCGGCACAGCGACGCGGAGGTCCCTGTCCAGCTAGGGAAACCACGGCTCGAGAGAGGGGCAGAGTGGCGGTGGCTGGGAGGGGAACGTACTCGCTGTGCAGGGGGGCGGCGCTCCGCCGCTTGGCCTTCTGCACCATGGTGGCCTGGTTACGCAGGGCGATGCGAATGCGTGAGGCTGCGAGCTTGCAGGGCTCACCGTCCACCTGCACCGGGATGGCCTTGGACGTGGTGAGCACCACCTCGCGGCACTGTGTCAGTCGCTCGCCGTGCCCGCCCACCTGCAGCGCCGCCTGTGGGCGCAGAAGGCTCAGGTTAGGAACCGGGGCAGGGTTAGTGAGGCCCCAGGCTCCATTCCCTGCAAGGATGCTCCAGCCGGGGAACACAGTGACAGTAACCCCCCAGAGAGCAGAAGGACAAGACTCCAGTCAGAGACAGGAGGGGAGAGAGAGACCCTGGTCAGAGAAAGAGGGGGAGACGCCAGCCAGGGAGATGAGAATGAATTCTCCCATCTTGGCTGGTGAAGGGAAGTTTCGTGGTCCCCCCACCTTTCCATCTTGGGCCAGTGTTCCTGGTCACTGTGGGGACAGAGCCAGGGCTCCAGGCAAGTCCCAGGTTGGCCTACTCACCAGGGACGTCATGGTAAAGCCAATGACCTCGAGGTAGCCATCGTCGTGCCGCTGGGGCTCAAATTCGTGGTGCTCCCCAGGGTGGCCCCAGGGCATGGTGCCTGCGCAGTACCTGGAGGGGACGGCGACACAAGGACCCTCAGAGGATAGTCGTACAGGCAGTTGTACATCTGGGCGCACACAGAGCCTCCCCTCCTCACCTGGGGATGTTCAGGAAAACGATGCACTGGGGTTTTAGGTCATGAATCTTGGGGGTCAGGTCAGTCCCGTCACACTGCAGGCAGGAACAGGGAGCGGGTGTAGGATGTGTACCGGTGCCGAGGCGGCCTCCCTCCCCGCCAGGCCCGTCCACTCTGCCTGCCAGCCTGGCCCACTTACCACCACTCGGATGTGCTTGGCCAAGTCCTTAGAGCTGCCCATCAGGAAGTCAGAGAAGGCTGTCTGTGGGAGACAGAGGGCGTCACCATCTGGTGACAGGGACTTTCTCTCACCACTGCCGGCAGGGGTCCCGTGGCCCAGCAGACACAGGTACGCAGGGTGTACAGGCGGCAGAACAGTGGGCATGGGGAGGGAGTGGGAGTGGCGGGGGGGGGAGGGTGCCCGTTGCCAGCCGACCCAGACTCACCCCGGCATAGAACATCTTATTCCGAAAGCGGCTGTTGAATTTCTCTGGGTTGGCCTCTGGGTGGCGACAAGAAATAAGGGACAGTCAGTCTGACCTGCTGGGGCTTCCCAGGCTGGGGTAGGATTGAGGGCTGGGAACTGCCCAGGGGCAAGTTCTGACCCTCTCGGGGAACCTCCTGTATGCCCCCCTCTCCAGCCTCCTGATGCCTTCCCAGCAAGTGGTTGCCCACCTCGAGACTCATGAAACTCCAGGGTGACGTGGGCATCAAAGCCCAGGCTGAAGTAATTGTTGAAGACATCCAGGGGCAGCTGGAAAAAGGTCAAGGGCCCAGCATGAGGGCTGGACCTCACAGCCACCTCCTTGCTCTGTCCTGCTCAGGGCCAGGGGCCACCACGCTGGCTCAGTCCATGCAGTTCTGGAAGCTTTTCCCAGTTAACAGCTCTTCCCTCTCGCCTGCAGCCTGCCTCAGGGTCTGCCCTCTCAGCTCCCAGCATCCATGGGGCTCCTCCAAGTGCCCAGTATACAAAACACCCGGGGCTCTGCAGGCACTCTCTTCCCTGGCTTTCCAACCACCCCCCAACACTTCTTCCCAAAGTGCCACATTCTGGAGGAGCTCCATGAGGACGAGGACTTTTTTTTCTTGGTCCTTAAAATGGTGCCTGGCATGTGGTGGATAGTCAGGAACTATCTGCCCAGTGGCTGAATAATGGCTAGCTTGCGGGGGTACCGCTGTTACCACTGCCCAGGAGAAGATGAAAGTCTAGGGGAATGAAGAGATTTGTCCAAAGCCCCAGAACCGGCAAGTAGGAGAGAACGCTTCCCCTGCTGCCCCCATAGCGGCTGCCCCCACACTGGCCCTGGCCGGCCTACCCGGTCAGTGGCGCCCTCGTCGCGCTCCTCTGGCCCCGCATCGGGGTTGGGCTCAGCGCGGAGGTCCCAGCGGTCTAGCTGCACCACGTTCCCCTCCTCTACGTGGGAGAGGATCTTGGACACGGGCTCATCCGTGTAGCCCTGGTGGGACAAGGCAGGAACTGAGCCTCTTCAGGGGAGAGGGCCCCCCAGCCGCTCAACCCACCCCCGCCCCACTCCCCGCCTATGGGCTCTTACCCCACCCCAGTTGAGGGTACGGGCCAAGTCATTGCCAGTGCCCAGGGGCAGAATGGCAACAGGTGGCGGGGGCTTTAAGCGCAGCTGGTCCAGAGTGGAAAGGATCCAGCCGACCTGGAGGGAGAGGGGCAGAGCAGAAGAGGCCGGGTCAGACCCGTGTGGCCCAGGCTCTGGCCCCCCGGCCTGAGCAGCCCGAGGAGCGGCCACAGGACTCACCGTGCCGTCGCCTCCACACGCCAGGATCCGCAGGTTGTGCACTTTGCGGTACATCTCCAGCCTAGAGTCAGAGGATGGGAACAGGGTCAAGGTGTGTGGGCCTGAGCTCCTGTGCCGGGCAAGCCCTCCCCACCGTCTCCACAGGGCCGCAGCAAGCACTTACGCCTCCTTGGGGCCTCCCTGGCTCAGGTCAAACACTTGTCGGGGGTTGAGATACCACAGGAAGGACTGGATGATCTTAGCGCCCTGCAGGGGACCGGGGGAGTCAGTCAGGGCCTGCGGGCCGCAGTGGAGAGCAGCACCCGAGAAGGACGCTGTAGGAACCAGGCCCAGCAGGGCCAAGGGGTGGAGACAGGCTCCTATCTCCTCAGAATCTCTGGGTCACAGGGATGGGGCAGGAGCTGCAATGGGACCTGGGAGCAGCTGCTGGCGATGGGGGCAGGGGTGAGGAGGGGGTGGTGAGGAGGAGGGGTGCGGAGCCTGAGCCCCCTCCTCCCCTGCAGGCTCTCTGTGGAGCGGGGTGGCCGTGCATACCTGGTTGCCCCCACTCTTGGGGTTCACAAACACCAGCAGGGGCTTCATGAGGGGAGAGGGGGTGGGCCTGATGATGAAGGGTCTCCAGCGGCCCTCCTTGGAGACAGAGAGACTGTAAGGCTCTACCCCAGCTTGGCAGACCTCACCCCCGTTCTCGGCGGTGCCCCCTCTGTTCTGCCTCCTGGGGAGACCTTAAGGTGGGCCTGGCCACAGAGAGGCACCTTGGATCCAGCCTCCCACCCTCCTCCGGGGCCCAGAGCCCACCAGTGGCTGCACTGGCCCAGGGAACTCAGTACTTCAAGAAACAGGCTCAGTCAGCCCCAGGACCAACCTCTGGCCCTTTCTTGCTAGATTTCCTCTTGAAGGATGCTCTCTTTTTCTTCTTGCTTGCCTTGAGGGTATTCTGGAAGGGAAGCAGGGGCATTGGGAATAGGCAGGTGGGTGGGGGCGGCTGGCAGTGCCCACGTGTGGAGGTGGTGTCCCGGGTGCGGGCAGGACTCACCTGCGGCCTGCGGGCACGGAGGATCCAGGTGGGCGGGATGACCACAGCAGCGTGCACGCCCAGGGAGCATGGCTCCTCTATCTGTTGCAGCATGAAGCAGGACACCTTGCTGTGGTACTGGGGGGCGGGGGGGAGGGTGCAACTGAGCTGGGCCTGAGCTGACACCCAGGGGGCCCCCCACCCAGTGCCGCCCAGGGGACAACCTCCGGGGGCCAGGCGAGCACCACTCACGGCCTGCTTGCACCAGGAGCAACTGATGGCCACAATCTCCTTGCTATGGAAGGTGAACTTCTGCTGGAAGCCCTAGGGTGGAGAGGGTAGTTGGGGCACCAGTGGCCGGGCCAAGAGCAGCAGGCCCAGCCCCTCTTCCGTGGCCAACACTCTCCACCCAGGGAAGTTGAGCCCATTCTTTAAAATTAAAACAATTGTCGAATGAGCCCCTGGAGCAGGGAGGCCTGTAATTCTCTGAAGTTAACTCCAAGGAGTTGGGTGCCCACACCCGATCTGCTAGAAGGGGTCACAGCTAACTCCTGCCAGTGGGAATTCCCCCCTGCTGACCCCGAGGCCCCCCAGTATATGCTTTAGAGGGCTTCACACTTCTTAACAGCACCTGCCACATTCATTCCCTTGTTCATTCCATGGACGTTTACTGAGGGCCTGCTGTGTGCCGGGCCCTGTGCACGGCACTGAAGTGAGCAGAGGAAAGAGGAGCGAGGCCCCGAGACCTTCTAGAGCCTACGCTTACTGAGGGAAACACAGCAGAAGCAGATGATGAGTAAGTGACCACCACACTGAGGACTGGGCTCAGGAAGACTGCCCACAGAGTCTGTCTTCAAGCCACATCCTCCTCCAGGAAGGCAGGGACCTCACAACCCGATTTGGGGCTCAGCACCCAACAGGGGCTCGACACATACTGTGCTCAGTCACCAAACGAGGCCGTCTACACAATTCTCAGAGGGCGCTTGCACGGCTTCTGGGCAGTCCAGATACACTGCGCCAGAAACTCGCTTTCTTCCCTGCTCTCCTACTCCGTCCAGAGACCTGGGTGTTCTGGGACTAACTGGGCCCCTCGGCCAGGCTGGAAGTGAGCCCCAGGACTCTGCACGCACGAGACACCGTCAGCAACGGGCAGGTGACACTGGACACACGGCCTGAGGCTCAGGGGCTGCAGGGGTCAGGTCTGGGGGGCCGCGGGCTGGCCCACCTCCCCGGGCAGAGCCTCACCTTCCCACAGTGCCGACACTTGCCATCCTGGCGTCGCCGGTGTACCCAGTGGTGCCGCACAAAGGTTGGCTGGTGGAGGAGGAGAGAGCATCACTGGAGTGAGGGGTGGACAGGCGCGAGGCCTGAGTGTGGCCGGCAACCCCAACACGCTAACGTGAGGTGTGGGGCTGCAGCAGGAAGCTCTCTGAAGCGTATGTGAGGGGAGAGTGGCTGGAGACTTCCCTCCATGGCCTCAAGGTGGGGGCAGAAGAGCAAGGAGGCGCATGAGGCAGGCAGTGCCTCCCCCTCTCTGCAGGCAGGGCCAGCCACGCCTTCCCCATCAAGACCCTCTCTGAGCCTCAGCCCTGCACCTCCCTGGGCCCCAGAGTAGCCTCAAAGGGGCTGAGTCCCCCAGTGGCACTCTGGAGACACTGCAAAGTCCACTCAGGAAACTTGGGGCCTCCTTACCAGTGACTACCCTGGGCACTTACCTCACGGATGTTCCTGGAGCCTGATTCACGGAAAGACGGCTTACAGCGGAAATTTATCTGTGAAACATTGCAAGGACCCCACAAATGTCAGAACCTCCTTTCAGGGGGTCAGGCATCTAGCCACCTCCTCCAGGAAAGTGTCACTCAGAGTCATCCTCGCAAGGCAGGGATAGCCCCAAATCATCCTGGGAGCCCTCAGAATATGAGACATCTCTTCTCAGTAAGCCCTCCTGCATCCCCTGCCTCCTCTCCACTAGTCAGAAGGACCTTTCCTTTCTCCTTTATTACCCGGGGATGGGGGACACTGGGAGTTTTATGCCCACCTCCCCCACTAAAAGGCAGCATGCTTTACTCCTCCCAGATTTTCCCTTGTCCTCCAGCGCTCCCGGCCTAGGCTGGTGCAGGCACCCTGCTCCTTGCCTGCAGACTGGTGCGGGCTGCTTCCTGGAGACCATTAGCTCATTCCTGGAAACTGCTTTGGTTTCCACCTTGGGCTCTGGAACGCTTAGGGCTATGTTTGTTTCTCTTTTCCCAACTGTCCCTGCTTCAGCCTTAGCACAGTTAACGGGGAAACCTCACTCTAGGAGTGAGGGGCAGGGGCAAGTGGCCCATGTTAGCAGTGTTCATGTTGTTCTTATCCTACAGGCTTTCCCATGTGCTGCTGGGGTTTCTGCTGTCTGGGGAGCCCTCGCACCCTCTGTCCGGACCTGCCTCCCCAGTGCTGCCTCTACTTCCCTTTGGAAGCACAGGACCCACACGTGCCACCAGCTGTCGACACACTGTGGACAACAGTCCTTAGGGCAGACAGAGCCAAACTTCAGCAAGACAACAGCCCCTTCTACATGTGAACTTAGGCACAGGTAAAATGGTGTCTTGGCTGTCACTCATTCATTCATCCCACTGAGTAGAAGTAAGCCCTACTCTGTGCCAGGTTTGTTTAGGGCAGTGGGACAGGGTGGATACAAAGGGGGAGAGACAGAATTCAAGAGCAGGCATTCCAGCTCTGGGGTCTTTGGCTCTTCCCACCACGCGGGCTGGGACATTCCTGGCAGGCAAGGCTTGTCACGTGAACATGCATGTGGAGACGCACACGTGTGCACTCTGAGAGGCCCTGGGCACCCAAGGGAGGGGCGGGAGGGGCTGAGCCCCTGTCCTCACCTTCTCCAGCTGTTCGATGCAGGGGGTGTGCACCACGATCTTGCAGGCTGCACACTTTCTCCGGGACACTGATTTCTGCTGCAGAAAACGAAGAGAGGGCCCTGAGGCACCAGGTAACTCCGTCCAGGACTCTGCCCCAGGGCGGGAAGAGAGAGCCTTACATGTGCCCCAGCACGGCTGCCCTCTGTTCACTGGGACATCCCAGTTCTGGCCTCAGAGCAGAGCTCCCATTCGTCCTGCCGTCCTCGGGCAGCCCTCAGCAGGGGCGCACAGGTGAGTGTCTTGTTCCCACCTTCCCTTCCACGGGCTACCACTGCCAGGCCCACAGAGGTCCATGCAGGGCCTCTAGACACGCCCCACCAGCAGGGGGCAGCCTGCCACCCAGAGCTCACTCACCAGCATCTTAGCTACACAGTACTGCTCCCCAACATAGCAGAAGTCCCCCGACACGTTGGTCTCGAACCAGATGTGTTCCCCATACGTCGCAGACTCCTAGACCACGAGACGAGCATGCTCAGCACAAAACCCGATACCTGGCCTATCAGTCAGTCCCCGCCCTGCCCTACCGACTCACCATACTCCCAAGGCAAACCTCCTCCCGCCACCACAATCTACTTTGCTCCATCCTTTTCCCCACTGGCCTTACTTTTCTTTTTTTTGAAGGTTAAAAAAAAAATCTTAAGTAATCTCTACACCCAACGTGGGGCTAAAACTCACAACCCCTGAGATCAAGAGCCACAACCTCCACCAACGGAGCTAGCCGGGGGCTCTTCCCACTATCCCTGCTCTTGAGGGCTTGGCTCAAACGTGGCCACCCCAGCAGGTCAGCCCTGACCCCAAAGGCCCACAGGCTCCTCCTGCAGCTGCCCCGAAGCCCACCAGGGGCCGGTACCCTCCTGTCCCTCCCTCCCAGCACCCTGCCACTCACGCTCCAGTCCACAGTGCTCCGAATCTGCCGCTCTGGCTCACCGCATGGGGCTCCAGGAGTGGGAGGAGGGGGTGCCAGGTGCTGGAGGCCTGACTTGGTGATGGCTTTCCTACAGAGAAGGAGATCGCTGAGGCCAGCTGAGCGCCTGGAAACTCTGCTTCTTTCCCCCCCTCACCTGGGGCGTCTGTCCTTGCTGCGACTTCAACCCCTAGCCCAGCCAGGGATGGCAACGAGGAGGATAGGGGACGCCCCACGGCAGCCCAGGACTCTGAAAGGTTCCCTCCAGGAAAGCCAGCCCTCCTCACAGCCCCTGTGGGGTGCGCTGGCTTCCAGGCACTGTCTGGAGCTATTCCCCAGAAAGGGGGCGCCCTCGCACCAGGCCAAGCCTGAGGTCCTTCCTGCAGGCCAGCCCCCTCGGGGTCAGCACACTCGCCCTGCCGGCCGCAGCTATACCTACGCAAGCAGGGCACTCCAGGCCTGGGGTCCTGCCGACTTGCGCCGCAGGGCCACCTGACGCCTGCGGGACAGTGGGCGCACACAGGCGGGCATCGGCGCGCCAGCGGGGGTGCCCGAAGCTCTTCGGCCCCCCGCGCCGAGGTGCTGGCCCGGAGACCGCTGCTGGCTGAGGCGCCGATAGTAGCCTTGCAGGCCCCACAGGGCACGGTCATACACCGCGTCAGCCGGGAGCAGGTGGGAGGAGGCCCGGCGCCGGCGCAGGCAGCGAAGCATGGGCGTGAGGGTGCCCTGGTGTGAGGAGGGCCCCAGTCTCCTGGTGCCTGGCTGGGTGGCACTCGGTGCCGCAACGGCCACATCCTCCTCCTCGCTCATGCCTACGAGCCCTGCCAACAGCAGGCGTGTGCCCAGAAGCTGGGGCCCGGCCGCAGCAGGCTGCAGGGTGGGCCCCTCGTCCACGATGAAGCGGGGGTTGCAGGCAGGGGGCACGGTGCTGGAGCGCCGGCGGCTGGGAACCCGGACGCCCCCCCCGCAGCTCAGGAGGCAGCCCTGGAGCTGCGCACTGGAGCGGCGCCGCTGTGCCAGTGAGGAGGACGCCTGCCCGGCGGGGGAGCGGCGTCGGGCCTTGCCTGTGGGCAGCCCCACGCCGCTGGGCTGCCGCTGGCCCTCCCCAGGGCCAGGCACCTTCCGCTGGAAGTGTGTCCTAAAGAAGGTCTCCATGGCAGGGGCAGGCGGACAGCTGTGGGGCAGAGACCGGGAGCATCAGGGGCTGTGCCAGGCTGGGGCCTGCCCTGCGCCCAGGCGCCCAGCCACAGCCTCTGCCCTTTGAGTGGACAAGGGACACAGGGAGGAAGGGGTAGGGTCCACGGCCTCTGACCTCCATCAACATGGTGTCTGAGGGTACCACGGAATCCTCAGGGGGCCCATCTTTATCACGGGGGGAAGCACTAACACGCTCCCCAGTTATACCCTATGCCGCCCCAGGAGTTATGGGGGAAGGGCTTCTGGCTCCCCATGCGGCTCCCTGTCCAGGCACCATACACCACAAAGCCCTGGCCTTTGGGTCCCTAGCCTGAAGCTGATGGAAAAGAAAAAAGGAAGCTGGAAGCCCGAAGTCCTGGGTCCCAGGTTGCAGTTGGCCTCCTCAGGCTGAGGGGCCAAGGAAAAGCCTTTTCTTTCCCTCTCTTTGGGCCTTTGTTTGGCTACCGACTCAGGACAGCCTGGGTTTAGATGTCCCCTCCCAGGACATGGCACAAACTAAGCTATGATAATAAAATGAGGCTCTCTGAAAAGAAATTCAGTCCGGTTATGCCCCTAGACTCTCTCAGCCGCAAGTCGTGGGGTCAGGCTGAGAGGGCACTCGACGCGGAGAGGATGTGACTTAGGGATCAAAGGGCCCTGGGGACCAAGACCCTCAAGACCGGGGGAGTCACCCCAGGCCTCACGCAGGGGCACCCTGTATGGGGAGCAACAAGAGGCCCGAGCCAAGAGGAAAGCGCTCTGGCTGTGCATCTCTAGCTCTGAGGGGCTACGAGAAAGAACTTTCCTGTTGTAGACTGCTCTGTCTTACCACACTACAGAGGCCTAGTACGCATCTCCCTCATCTCCCTCGTGTGGAAGTACCGGCTGCTCCCTGGTGAGGTCTGCAAACCCTTCCCGCCCAATGCTAGAAGCTCCAATGCTCCGCCCAGAGCTCCCTCCTGAGGGAGGCAGGACCCACAGGACGATCCTTCCTCAAACCATCCTCCCTTGACCTGTGCTGAACGGGCCCAGCTTCCTTCCCAGCTCACCTACTCCTGGCTGCCCCTTCTTCACAGGCTGCTGGATTCCTGCACCCTCACTTCTGAACGGTGGGGGAAGGGCAGGAAGCCCGGTAGGCTTGGGTGGGGGAAGAGGATGGGAATGCCTTCAGAATGCCCAAGGATGCCTGTGCCCCGCCATCGGGTGATCTCCTGGGCCCTTGCAGCCACAGAGAGGTCCGAGCCACAGTCATGGGACACCTGCCTAGGCCCGACAACAGAAACACGTCTGCCTGCTGAGGGCCCGGCAGAAGTCAGGCACGGCGGGTGCGAGCCTTAGACAAATGGGGTTGGACGCTAGGCTCAAGGACTCCGGCCCGGGCTTCGTGTCTACTGGCTGTTTCTCCCACCGCCCACTCACCCAGTCTTTACTGTGTGACAACCCTGTGAGTCTGGGGGAGCAACGCCAGGCTAAAGCCCTGGATGGGTGCGGGGGTATTCAGGGAGGGGCACACGGAGCCAAGGTGTGGGGAGGCAGGGTGCGTGGGGAAGCAGGGTTGGAGACTGCCTGTTACGGGCAACCACCTCTGCAGGGGACAGGGAGAAGGGCAGGAGTTAAGCTGGGCGGGCAAGAGGACGGGCGTGGGCAGAGAGCTCCCCGCTTCCTGATGCAATCAGTATCATCACAGCTAACGTTTATTGAGCTCACCATGTGCCAGGCACTCTGCTAAGCCCCTCACAAACACACGTGTCATTTTATAAGCCAGAGCGAAGCAGAAGAATAGGTCTGAATCCTGCCATGTTCCTAATGGGAAACTGAGGCACAAGGCGGTAACATGCCTGAAGTCCGCAGCGAGTCAATGGGGAGCCAGTGATGGAACCCAAGTCTGTGTGAAGGCAAAGCCTGTACCCCAGAGCGGCGGTGGAGAACAGGCTCCTTCCTTTTGGGCTACAGGGCTGGAGCTGAGTGGGGACAGCACAGGGAGGGGAGCCCTAATAAGAGCAACAACAGCCCCACCGACTCAAGACCTGCCGTGGAACGGCCCTGAGCTAAGTACTTTCATTTACCGTCACACGTGATCCCCAGCACAACCCTGTGAGGCCTGGACAGGCACAGCATGTGGCCCAGGTCACAAGGCTGGTCAGCGGCAGGACCAGGACCCAAACCCAGGGCTGCCTGACTCCAGTCTGTTCAGCACCCGGGGAGAGAAGCCTGGAGGCCTGGCCGCCCACTGCTGCCTGGGCGCTGACTTGCCAGCGCTCCCCCAGGGTGTCAGCTTTCCCCAGCCGTCTGGTCAGGCCGCCCTGTGACAGCTGCCCAGCCTGGAGGAGATTAGTCACCCGGACACACCGCCTGATGCCAGTGTCACCCAGAAAACAAAAGGCCACAGTCAGTAGGGGGGAGGTGCTGCGGGCACGCTGAACAGGGATGAGGTCTGGGCCCTGCCTACTGCCCCAGACCCAAACCGACAAGAGGGGCCAGCGGGCGGAGGCCGCCTCATGACAGGGCGGCAGCCGACAGGCGCTCCCACGGCGCTCTGGCGCACACGCTGCTGGACAGCCCCAAGGGCAAGCGTCCTGGGGCCTCATGGGCTGCCTGGTGGCACAGACCCTGTGAGTGGGGAGCAAGGCAGGCTAGGCCAGGCTGGTGTTGGGTGACAGTCCCCACACGGGCCTCAGTTTCCTTGTTTGTCCAAGGAGGCTGTGAGACTGGCCAAATTGATCTTTTATGAGAAGCTGTCCAGCAAGGCACCCATGCCTCTGTGCTCCCAGTGCCCCCTCCCTCCCAGGCCCCATGCTTCCTGCTCCTCTGGTCGCCATAGAAACCTCTGTCCTCTGGTCAGCAACAGCCTGATACCAGACTTCCGATCTCTGCTGAGGCTTCTCGTGGGTCCAATGAGAAGCCCTGGCTGGCCTCAGGCCTTCCCCACAGCACGGCCCTGAGCGGTGGTATTTTCACACCGCGTGCTCTCCCATCTCCATCGTCGCACGAGTTACGTGGGGAGGTCACAGCAGGAGGCCCCACAGCGTTCTGACACCAAAAGCCCAGCACAGCGTCTACCCCTCAGCCTTCTCGTGAGGGACCTGAGAGAAGCCTGTCACACCCAAAGGGGACAGGATGGGAAAGGACTCAAAGGCTCCATGAACCTCCAGCTGGCTGCTGAGAGCCTAGGGAGGGAGGACAAAGGATGCTACAGGAGAGACACCCATGGTGGCATCCAGCCATGTGACCTGGATGACCAGCTCCCAGTGTGTCTACAGGCACCTGCCAGGGGGTGAGCAGGCATGCGTGCCCTGGCTTCGCTGGCTACTGGCCAGAAAGAACCAGACTCCCTACCTCCCAGCCCAGACTCCCTCATACCCTATGTTAGTCTCAAGTGGAAAAGCCCAAGGGCTTTGGAATCCTAATCTGCCATTGCTTTCCCGGCCATGGATCAACTAACCTTTCTGACCCTCAACTTTCTCCTCTGCAAAATGGGGGTACCACCTAGTTCAGAAGGCTGGCGTAAGGGAGGTGCCAATAAAGTACCTGGTGATACCTGGCAGAGGGCAGGGCCTACACTGTCAACAGACACAAGGGCCTGTGGATCATGCCATCTCTTGGGGTTTGTCTCTGCCCGTGGCCAAAGTGGGAACCCAGAAAGGGAAGTAGGTGAACCCAGGGTGGTCACCACCCACCACATGAAGAATAGAGCCTGACAGCCAGAGTCACCTGGGGATCTGCTCAGCTGTGAGAGATGCCCTCTGCCCCTTGCACCAGGCCCGGCCCCCAGAGGTGCTCGCACAGGATACCCCGTGGGATGCAGCCGGGGTTCTCACTCCCTCAGGCTCCTCCCCTCGGGGAAGGTTGGGAATGGTGCACAGTGGCCCCATTTCCAGCAGCCCCAGAGCAAGGGCCTGGAGTGGCCTCCCCAGGGGGATACTGGTCAGAAGCCACCTCTGGCTGCTCTGCTCCCACAGCCCCAAGGTCAGAGGGAAGAAGGTGGGGACAGTGGGAAGGGAGCACAACCTGGAGGCTGCTGAGACAGGGTCTCCCTCTCTGAAGGTCTTTACTTGCTCAGAGGAGCCTGCTCCCAGCAAAACAAAACAAATACACAGCGGGGAGCAGGTGGGCCAGCGCTGCACAAGAAGGGCAGCAAGCAGGCCGTAATGTTTACCTCCACAGAGTCTGGTGGGCGCAGGAGCCCAGCCCAGCCTTTCCCTTCCCTTCCCTTCCCTTTTCCGTCAGCTTCAGAGCCTCATCCAGGAATGGTGGTGCGTGGACCCACCCAGATCCCTTCCTCCCCAGACCCACCCTGACAGATACAGGAAGGAGGAAGCAGAAGGCAAGGAAGGGTTGGGGGTGGGGTGGGGAGGAGTCCCCTTTGACCTGATCTAGAAGGCAGGGTGGCAGGCAGGAGGTGGGCGAGCGGGTGGGGCCCTGGGGTCCCTTGGGCGGCGAGCCCCGGCTCTGGCTCCAGCTCCAGGCTGCTGGCCTCTGGCTGAGCAAGTCCTAGTTTGGAGAGCCAGCCGCTGTGGCTGCTGCTCTGCCCCCTCCCCCTCGCCACCCTCCTCCCCCCGCCTGAACAGCCGTTATGAAAATAACCCCATTGGTAACCAACTGCACTTCCTCTCCCAGCGGTGGCTCCAGGCCCTGCAGCAAGCAGGCGGCCGGTGGGCGGGCGGGCACACACGTATCAGTCCTGCCTCCTGGCTTCTCTTCCCAAAGTCCCCAGAGCCAGGCTGAGCAATAGCCCAGCGGCCTCCCCTCCACCCGGCACCCGGCAGAGCACACACAGCCCCTGCCTTGGCTCCTGGAGGTTTGGGGAAGCAGAAGTGGGGGGTGGGTCACGCCCCCTCTGGCCACCGTATGTCCTCTAGGTGGGATAGGTGTTCTGGGGTCTGGAGCAGGCGTATGAGACAGCTAATCACTGGCACCCATCAGAATAACCACAAAAACATATGTGTCGAGGCTTTCACAACTTACAAAGCATGTTTTCACAAGCATTATCAGACAGAATGCTTATGATTCTCCCGCGCGGGTGGTATTATGGTCCCAGCTAAACCAAAAGGGCCACCTGAGGCTCCCAGAGGCCCGGGGCTGTCCGAGCTCAGAAGTGGCTAAGCTGGGGCTGTCCTACCCGGGTCTCCTGGCCCTGCCAAGGGGGCCTGCCAGAGCTGCCCTGGCTCGTGTCCTGGAGAGGCCAGCCCATGTCACACTCATGCTGTCCAGAATGCCACCCCTCTCCAGCTTACACTCCTGGCTCTCTAAGGTCGAGAGTGGCAGCCCTCAAACGTCCACCACCCCTTGACACTCTTTAAAATTACTGATGATCCCCAAAAGATTTTGTTTACAGGGGTTAGAGCTACTGCTATTTACCGTATTAGTAAAAAAACTGAGGGGGCACCTGGGTGGCTCAGTTGTTAAGAAGCTGCCTTCGGCTCAGGTCAGGATCGAGACCCCCCCATCGGGCTCCCTGCTCAGCAGGAAGCCTACTTCTCCCTCTCCCACTCCCTCTGTTTATGCTCCTGTTCTCACTCTCTGTCAAATAAATAAATAAAATAAAATAAAAAGAAATTAAAACTGAGAAATTTAAAATATATGGACTCATCTAAAAACAATAAACTCCTGGGACGCCTGGGTGGCTCAGTTGGTTAAGCAGCTGCCTTCGGCTCAGGTCATGATTCCAGCGTCCTGGGATCGAGTCTCGCATCGGGCTCCTTGCTC